GGAGAAGTTCAGAAACACTGTATCTCTTTTGCAGAGTTAGCTGTCAAAAGTCCTCTGCTTACCGATAGGCTTTCCACAGAACGGCATTCCTTATCTCAGGGCAGTCCGTTCCCAGGTTTTAGGCGGTGGATTTTAACTTCCTTTCCCCCTTTTTTTGCAGATAAATACAGTTCAAGCCTTTCCCCCCTCCTCTCCTGCAATCCGGAGGAGATCTCTTTCCAGATGTTAAGATTTAAGTCTTTTTCAAACGTCTTTCCGAGTTTCCGCTTGCAGTCTCTTTGCTTTGATCTATTTACAAAAAAGGAAGGCAGACTTCCTGTTTATACCTTCCCGCTTCGGTGCCGAATTAACTTGTTTTTTTCCCTTTAAATCCAATTTAATCCTACTCACGGGTAGTTGCTTTCAAAGTCAAATTGTCCCAGGAAAAAGTCAGCGCTCTCCGATAACGGCTATGCGGCTTCACTCCGCGGAAGAAGCAGTCGACTCTCAGCACCGCGCCACTCATCCCGTCCCGCTCCGGAGCCCTTAAAAGGGTCCCTTCGCAACTTGGGGGGCGCAAAAGGTGCCCGCCGAGTCCCCACGTTCACAGGCTTCGCCCGCCTGTGATTTTTAAAGGGCCCCGCTTCGCCGCAGCGGTAAGACCCGATCCCGTGGAGCTGGTCCCTCAGAGACTCAGAGGGAATCCGCCATTATTGATGGCACCAACCCGGAAGTCCTCCCTAATTCACACTTTCCAAAGCAACATGCGGACCAACCTGTGGACTCGCTATCCTCCAAAACATGCACTCCTACACACTGTGCAATATAGTTCTCCCCCCAAGCGACGTGTACAAAAATCCATGTGCCAGAGTAAAGTATGCACAAAGTGCATCTGTTAGTAAAAATAAGACATAATAATGTGTAATATTGGGGGAAATTGATTTGCCAAAATGGGGACAAAGTTGTGCATATCAGGAGAAAGTGGCATCAGTATGCTGGTGTATTTTCATAATGCCTTTAAAAGAAATAATAATACTAATCACCAACTGATGTGGAGAACTGATGTTAAGATTGGAAAAATAGGCAACTGATAGAAAATGAAAACAACAGATTGGTCCGTTCCTTGTACCACTTAGCAAACTCTGTGACCAGCAGCCCAGAGAACTTCTCCATTCTTCCCTGTTCTTCCTTTTCCATTGTCTGATTCTTTGTACAGACCAGATTATTTCTGTTTCTGTTTCCAGTGAAGTAACTGAGACAGGACCATTTGCTTTGGGTAGTTAAAAAGTTGATATTACTATCTCATGTTTTTTTCTGTTTACTCTCAGTAAAAACGGGAAGAGATTTTCCTGCAGTACTGCCCCACCCATGAGGCCAGTTGAGGTGACTCCCTCAGGTGGCAGGATCCACAGGGGCAGTGTATCCTGATGTAGATCTTTCTGTCTTGTTCCTGATGTAGATCATCACTCACACCTTCTTCCCTGGGTGAGAGGCGCCATTTTGTGGTTCGCCTCAAGTGCCAAAAATGTCATGGGCTGGCCTAGCAGCTTGCTGGCTTTGCCCCTTGCTCTTTCTTAAGGTGAAAAGGGCTGCCTCAGAGCTAGGGTGCACCCGCAGAGTTAAAGTATATGAGGTCGGATTGCCCTAGTCCAATACCACCTGTTCTAACTGGCAGCAGACCTCCACAGTATCAGGCAGAGAGAGATCTTTACCCCCCCCCCAACTGTTACCTGTTCCTTTTACCTGAAAATGGTGGGGATTGAATCTGGGGCCTTCAGCACAGCAAGTATATGTTCCTCCGCTGAGCTATGCTCTCTTCATTTACCTTGGAACATAAAACTCATTACCAGCCTCTGAGCTGAAGTAGCCATGGATGATTGTGTCAACACACTTCATTATTATGCTGCTGATCGTAATAGTACAGATAACGGAGACAGATGAGAGAAAGGACAAAAATAGAACTTACACGCATCTAGTCAAGTGAGCTCGGTACACACACACTCAGGGCTTTTTCAGCAGTGATTACCACAGCAGTTCTGAGAGTTGATGAACCAAGACATTTTTAAAACTGAGCATTGATTTGCTTCACTGTGAGGAGTCCCTCAGGACAAGCCTTGAGTTGAAATAAGAATACAATCAATTATTCTATAGGTGGGCTTTTATTTCTTGGTTTAGATGTACAAGTATGGATCCAATGGTACAGGCTGTGTATATTGGCCCTGCCTTCATGGTAACTGTTTCATTTTGTATCTATGAAATTATTTAAATGAGAATGAAGAAAAGGCAAGACAAGTTTCTTCCTTTGACACACGCTTCCGTCCCCTGCTCAAACTAAGGAGAGTCACATGCAGAAACAGCCTTCAATGGGCATATCACTTGTTGGACACACACTGGCTGTGCACTCAATTGAACGAATACAGTGAGTGAATGCTGTCTGTCTATTGTTTTTATGGGGTGTGCAAATCCAGTAGCAGCTAGTGAGGCAGTGTGGGTGGTGCATGGTTGCTCTCCCAAATGCCTAGCACAGTCCTCTGAAAGGAATTGCATCTACACTTGGCTGCACATCTGGATAAATATTCAACGAACTCATAATTCATCTTCCAGAAAGTGACATTCATGCTGGAGTCTTCTTCTATGGTTGAATCTCCTTACTTGGGTGTCTGGCTTCAGGTAAAAGTTGGTGTACATAACTGAGAGGATGGGCTCTGGCAGGTGTCCTAGGATGGGCACACTGGGTATGTAGTCTTTGAGATGAATTCCTTTCCCCAGTTGCAATCTTTTCACCTGCAAAGTTAGGAAGTATGATTTGTCTTTAGTACATAACTACCAAGATTTCAAAACTTGGGAGAAAAACAAGGGGCTGCCTTATACCTGAAAGTTCACATCAGTTAAAGAGCAGGTGAAAAGCCACATTATATGCTGGAGCAGCATTAGCTACTGAAGGACACAGCAACCCAGACATGTTTTGTTGTGTTATCAGACAAGAATGGCAGGCAGGGGATATGAGATCTCTTGTTCTCAGTCTGGCCTTTACGTAAATTGATTGCTAAGGTTGAGCCAACTTGATATTTCTGACTTCCATTTAACAAGGCAAAACTCCCTTTTTGTGCCACTGAAGCTAGCTTGTCTTACCTGCTAACCGTATTGTCTTTTTCTCACCTAGACAACAAAAGCTAGGTTTTTCTGGAAACTTATTTCCATCCTGTCTCCTAATCACCCTTAAACATCTGTATATCTAACTAGTTAGATAATGTGAAAAGTTGAAATTTAGAGTTTTCTTCCTGTACTAGTTTGTATTATCATGGACAATAGGAAAGATCTACTACACAGATTGGCTTTTCATAATCCCTACCTCTTGAAGGCTTTAGGTGGTCCAGAGATAAGGAGTAGTAGGTGATACTTTAATCTGTACTAAAGGGCAAGAGTGAATTTACCTGGGATATTCTTTTGAACAGAGTCTTCTGTTATGCAGAATATTCATATTAAAGTTTCTTAGGGTCAGCTGAGTTGGTCACCTGCTTCCAAGGTCCTGGAATGATTTTTTTTTAAATTAGATATTAATTCTTTGAACACTCTATGTTTAAGGGCTCTACTGTTAGACTTGTTCATCAGTACTCCTGATCAGGACCTTGTATAGAAATAAATGAACTTTCCACCTCAAGAATGAGTTTCAAAGCTTTACCAAAGAACAGTCTTAAATATGTTAGGAAAGATAAATGTTACAAAGTAAGACATTGCTCTCAAATAGCAGGCAATGTGGTTCAGTCCTTTAAGCCCTTTATGTAGTTCAGTAAACTCTCCTCTCTCTGATCCCAGAGAGATCCTAAACTTGTTCAGCATTGCGGAACTTGGCTTCATATGCCACTGCTGTTAGAGATCAGCAGTTCAGGTTTCTGGCAATGAGTAATCAGGTAGCCTAAGCCTGTGAAATGGAAAAATACCAGCCTTCTGCTTTCATCTAGAGTGAAACCTCTCGCTTAATGTAAACTTATCTGCTTTGCAAATGCAAATCTTTAAAGAAGTTTTAATTTCAGTTCATACAAACATTACATTTTGTGCACATTAATTTTTTTAACACCTATCCAGTGTGATCACATGTTATGAGTATCAAAATGTTTTCTGTACAATAACTTCACAAAAAGGCCTCAGTTCATACTTTCCTGGAGGAAAGCATGAGAACATGCATCTGTTATGGCTGCTGCTGCCATTTTATAAGCATGCTGCAAATATGCATGGAGAGGTATCATTATCATTTAATATAACCTTGGAAATGCTAAAAGGATTTGCAAACCAAATTTATCACTCTTTCAAGAAGAAACAAATAGGCAACTGTTCAAGAATGTAACACATAAAAGCTCCTTTCTATCTTAGTCCTAACAGTTTAGCAGAAAAGTCTCAACATGGGAAGTGATTGACATTTTTCACTCATTCCAATTGGCCTCCTTATTTAGCAGTTAGCTCTTTGTGTAAAAGTACAAAATGAACATTTGATGAAATTCATGGAAAGAATGAATGCTTTATTTTATATTCCACATCAGTGAATAAAGTTATTGATAGATAATATGTAATCTTTTGGGAGCACAGCAAGAAACTTCTTCTGCATTTTCCCCACTTACATTCACAATTCATTGAGTAAATTTGTTTCCTTTATTCTCCCCCTTTTGGGGATAAAATTAAAATAAAAAGACAAAACAGAGCTAGTGTCCTCTCTTTTCTAGCTTTTGAACACCAGTGATTGATGTAATTATGTAAAAATTGATAGAAAAAATGGGATCGGAGACCTTTGTGAAACAACACAGCATATGGATTGATTCAAATCTACATCTCCAGAATAGAAACATGATTAATAATGTGTCCAAAACAATAACCATAGAATACCTTAGAGGTTACTGGAATCAATTTGCAAATAAAAAACAACTCATCCATCTTATGATTTTCACAATATGAAACAGAAGGTACAGTGTTTTCTTCTAAAAAGTTCAAGTACTTCTGAAAGAAAAAGATAAATATTGGGCAGTATGGGACCAAGTCATACTCAGAATAGACCTACTAAAATTAACAGACTTAAACTAAACTTATAGCTAACCTCAGTCCATTTGTTACAATAGGCCTACTCTGAGTATGACTTGGTCGGATACCACCCACTGTTGTGTTTTAAGTCACTCTGATAATTTGGGTACTATATTACTGAGGTATGCATTGGTAGCAACTGGCTTTAGATCCATTTCAGTCCGGTTTCCGTCCTGGTTTTGGGACCGAGACGGCTCTGGTTGCCCTAACAGATGATCTCCGTAGACAACTGGATCGAGGTGGGTCAGGACTGCTGATCCTTTTAGATTTGTCAGCAGCCTTTGACATGGTCGATCATGATCTTCTGGACCACCGCCTCGCAGACGTGGGGATACAGGGCATAGCCCGTAACTGGCTGTGCTCTTTTATCTCTGGTCGGGGACAGAGGGTGGCACTAGGGAAGGAAATGTCGTCGCGCCATTCCTTGGTGTGTGGAGTGCCGCAGGGCGCAATTCTCTCCCCGATGCTTTTTAACATCTTTATGTGCCCCCTTGCCCAGATTATCCGGAGCTTTGGGCTGGGCTGTCACCAATATGCTGATGACACTCAGCTCTATCTGCTGATGGATGGCCACACTGACTCGGCCCCGAACACACTGAGCAGATGCTTGGAAGCTGTGGCTGGATGGTTTCATGGGAGCCGATTGAAACTAAATCCTTCGAAGACAGAGGTCCTATGGCTGGGTCGGGATGGCATGGGGATGAGGGACCAACTCCCTTCTCTTGGGGGGCCCAATTAGTGCCATTGCCTTCCGTTAAGAGTTTGGGTGTAATCCTTGACGCCTCCCTTTCCATGGAGGCGCAAGTTACAGCAACAGCCAAGGCGACATTTTTCCACCTTCGCCGCATCAAGCAGTTGGTCCCTTACCTTTCCTGCCCCAACCTGGCCACAGTGATCCATGTGACGGTCATCTCCAGACTTGACTACTGTAATTCGCTCTATGCAGGGCTGCCCTTGAAGCTGTCCCAGAAACTCCAGCGGGTGCAGAATGCTGCAGCGAGGCTCCTCACGGGGTCTCTGCCATGGGAGCATATTCACCCAGTGCTTTTCAAACTGCACTGGCTCCCGGTAGAGTACAGGGTCAGATTTAAGGTTCTGCTTTTGACCTTTAAAGCCCTTCACGGCCTAGGACCCTCGTACCTACGAGACCACTTCTCCCGGTATGCCCCACAGAGAGCCTCAAGGTCCATAAATAGCAACACCCTAGTGGTCCCGGCCCCTAAGGAAGTTAGATTGGCTTCAACCAGAGCCAGGGCCTTTTCAACTCTGGCTCTGGCCTGGTGGAACGCTCTGCCTCATGAGACCAGGGCCCTGCAGGATCTGATTTCTTTCCGCAGGGCCTGTAAGACAGAGTTGTTCCACCTGGCCTTTGGCTTGGAGCCAATTTGATTCCCTCCCTCTCTTTCTTTTTTCCTTTCCTTCTCCTCCTGCGTTGAGGCTACATTTTAATATTTTAATGTTGTATTTTAATTTTGTTTTTAAGTTGTAATAATTCAACTTGTTTTTATTATTGCTTGTAAGCCTCTCTGAGCCCGGCCTTGGCTGGGGAGGGTGGGGTATAAATAAAAAATTATTATTATTATTATTATTATTACACATACTTGCTCAGAAGCAAGTCCCACTCTGTTCAGTGGGGCTTCCTTCCTGGTAAGTGCACATAGGAAGCACAACACTGCTTATTAAGGGCAAACATGCTTATGATTCCACTGTTAGAGATTACCCTGTGAATCAGGGAGTCGCTGGTTTGAATTAACTGTTTGCTGTGAACTCACTAGGTGACTCACTGCCCTCCATTCTGCAGTATGCCCCCCAGATTGCTTCTGAGGCCACTCCAGGTTTAGAGCACCTGTAGCTTAAGCTTAATAAGTTTCATAGTAGATCTGCCCCTGCCTGCACCATCTCCAAATCTGCTCTGGAGGATTGTGGTGAGGGGGAATCCAGATTAAGGGAGCACACAAGGGGAGGGGGAGAACATTCCATTGTGGAACATTCCACTGATGGAACATCTGCCTTGGTGCTACATTGAATATCATCCAATGTTTGACAACTATGTGAGGTTGGTAGAGACTTCAGATCCCTAGTGCCTCTCTCACCCAACCCTTCTCCAACTCAAGCTAGAACACCCAGACCCAATATACTCAAGAGCCCTCCTGTAAACCAAGTATGGCTGAGACTGCTCTCCAGCAACACATCTCTCTGTCCATAACACAGCCAGGGGGTGATCTATGGGAGCACATGTTCTGCTTTGTTGCTTGCATTGCTGTATGTACATTCTGAGATTGTGGCCTTCTCTTCCTCTCACAACTCTGCTTTCAATGATTTTCCAGACTTGCACTTCTAAGTTTTGTAGGAGACAGGTGGCTTGTTCCACATGTTTTAATTCTTCACGTTCATTGGAGAAAGAGAATGGTCTTGGGTTGTCTTCTAGTTCTCAGATACAAGGATCCATTCTGCAAATTTTTTTTTGGGGGGGGGGTGAATCTAGATACTGTTCCTAATGACTGGATATACTATTATTCTTTGAAAGAGAGAATATGTTCTATACAAGTGACTATTTCAATTTTTCCAGTTTAGAGGCTCCCTCAAAAAGATCTACTGTTTCAGAGTGGCAATTTATTTGTGGTTGCATTTCTGTATCAATATAATGCAAATCTGTAGCTTGTTGTTCCAAAGAGCTACATAATTCTGGAGTAAAAGTAACACAAGGTACATTGCCGATTGCAGCCAGGTTATGGTAAATGGACTGTAACTAACAGCATGACAATACTAAAATAGACTGAGCCCCACTGATTGCTAAATAAGGATTAGCCTGGCAGAATATTGCTATCAGATGATATGATGTTTCTCTCATATTGATTTTGTTCCAGTTTGTGGAACTATTTTTGTTGTTGTTTACATATTTATAAACCACACTTTGTTTAAAAAAATACAGCAAGGCAGTATCCAACATATAAAATAGCAATGAAATCATCAAAACATAGACTAGAACAGCTTGAGGGGAAATGCATTGTTGTATTTATGATATAACATTACAGAAAATATGAAAAATGTGAATGGTAGGCAAGTTTGATTTAGCTATAATGATGATGAAATCATGTTACTCTTCTTTTATGCTACTTTGTTAAAGCTGGGCATCTGTGGTCCCATCCCCACTAGGGGTTTTTTTGGTAGGGGTGTTATGCAAGATGTCATTGGCATAGTGATGGATTTAAACTGGACCATCCACAAATTATTCTGCTTTATAAGTTGTTCTGAAATGCTTCCCTGGTGCTATCACAATTACGCTGTCTGCAGGGGCACTCTTGAACAGTCGTGCAACGAAGAGAGACAAAAACGTTTGTGATATAAAATGTTAAAAGGTGGTATTCAGCTGAGTTTTTATTCAACATAGATTCATTGAAATTGATGAACATAATTAAGGTAGGTCCATTAATTTCAAGGAGTCTATTCTAAATTCTCCTCTGGATTTCAGCAGGAAGCAAGAGGAAATGGGGATGATGAGAGTCGAGGCTCGTATTAGCTTAACATCAATCTATAAGTGGTAGACACTGAAATTGCTCCCCTAAGGTATAGCTCCACTGATTCTGTATGATCGGTTCCAGTCTGGCTGGCAGATAGTGGTCCTGAACTCTCTGCAAAAACTGGGCCTTGATCCTCAAGCCATCTTAAATTTGGGATTCGATCAAGCAAGATCTGTGGTTAGGCAAAGAATTATGGACATAGAAAGACAACAGGACTGCTTGAGGTCCCCTGATTACATAACTGCAGAACACGAGAGATATGTTGCTGTCCTGGCAGCATATCTCCATTTCCTTGTATCCAGAAATGCAAGAAGGGCCTTTACTCTCGCCAGAAGTTCGGCTCTGCCCTCGCCAGTTCTGGAAGGATCTTTTGGAAAAGTCCCATATGTCCAGACACTTTGAGCCTGCCCATTAGGGGAAATAGGAAGTCCTGAACACTTATTTTTTAGATGTCCTTTTTACGATGAGCCACGTAGAGATACCATTGACCCTCATCTAGTGAGGCTTGCTGACCTCTTTCTCCTCTTAGGCAAAAATCACAAGACGACCCAGATGGTCGCCAGATTTTGCATGCAGATTTGTAGGTGCAGAACACACACACCCCAGAAAACTGCCATATCCAGCCTCCTGGGTGTCCCAGGGTCAATCTGCATGTTAGTTTAATTTTAGGTTTTTTCGTGTACATGCAACTATTTCAATTTTAATCTATAAACTGTTATTATATACTGTTTTAAATGTCTATTTCACTTTTGTGAAAGTAGTCTCAGTTGTGCTTCTTGAACTGGTCTTTAACCGTAAATAATAATAATAATAATAATAATAATAATAATAATAAAACAAAAACAGGTGCAGCCTTCCTCTGACTTCATAAATGTGCCAAGCAAAGTTGTATTTGTTGGATTTCTACTTCTTATGCAGCTATAAAAGTGAGAGCTATAAAATGTCAGGAGACTATGGTATCATCCCAGCTGATTTGAGGTGATAAAATTACAAAAGATATTTGTGTTTAGCATGTGAATGCTTTGCCATTTCTTAAAAGTGTGGTCTGCTGCTTTAAGCTACATTTAGATTCTCCTGAAAGCTGTGATTCTGAAAACAATGTCTGTTGTTATGTAAGACATGAAGCAACAAATGGCTGCTGAGTATGATTAATTGCTAAAACTAACTTGAGACATTTCATTGATCTCTGAAGCCATTTATTGCAAGTTTCAAAGCAATAGGAGATCATTGCTATTATATTCCAAATTGTAAAGTCAAAATGAAAAAAGGTATTTCTCACATTCCTTCTTAACATGCCTTTTAACTTTGTTCTTGGGCTCTTCTCTGACATTCACTTTAGAGATATGAACCGAGATCAATAGCCAAGCAACCACATTGTTAAATGCTGATTAAATTATTGAGGGTAGATGGCATTTGATGTAGGGCATTTAAGGAGGGTTATTGATTCCAAATTAGATTTGCACATGCCAGGACAATTGTGGCTCTATTTGCTAATAGAGGTTTTTCCCCTGCATTTCTGGTTTCTTAATAAATAGCTGAGATATCTCGGTCCATAGAGCATGAGTCTCTTAATCTCAGCTTCATGGGTTTGAGCCCCATGTTGGGAAAAAGATTCCTGCATTGCAGGGGGTTAGATTAGATGACCCTCATGGTCCCTTCCAACTCTCTCATCCTTTGATTCTATGAACAAAATGTATTCAGTATTTGTTGAGTGAAAGGAAAACTAAACACTGGACTGTATAGAACTTGGAGTAGAGGGGTAGGGAGATATAATCTAATTTAGACAACAGCAACAAATACAAAATAATTAAAACTGGAGGCAGAGAAGTCTAATGCTAAAATAAAAACCACAGCATTTTAGTCTTAGGCAATCTTATCTTATGAGTCCTAGGACTTATTAAAAAAGAAATTAGCTGGCAATTAATTCCACAAATAAGGAGTAATAACAGAAAAAAATACTAAGAGGCAAATGGGATGATTTTAAAAAGAATACCTGTCTGATTCTGAACTAGTTTGGGCATGGGAGGCTCCATATTTGTGATTTTTTTAAAAAACCCGTCGTCTAATTTGAGTTCAGTTCCCCAGTTTTGCCACTGCCAAAACCAGGTTAGAATACAACTTTCAGTATACTTTTGCACACAGTGGGAAAACAGGCACCAATTAAAAAAGTGGAGTTCTCTGAATATTGAATATGGTTTCCCCTAAATCCAGCCTAAATCCAAAGATGGGTGTGTAATTTGTAAACACACTCTTCTCCCTCCCTCTTAGTCAACCACCAATCTACATGAAATGGCCTGTGGCACCGTCTTTATAGCCCTCTGTTGTTGTTGTTAGAGAGCTCCAAGGAGAATTCCATTAGAAAAGCACAGCAACAAAAACTGCAGCCTCAGAAGTCTTTACATACTTGTTAGGTGTTTAGGATATAAAATAATCTCCAGTGCTGTAATAGTAAGTAGAGTGGAAGCTGGTTGCATGCCACAGGTGATGGGGACTGCGGTTTCTTCGCCCCTGGATCTTGTGTGTACATGTTTGTTTAATGGCAGGAAGTTAAGAGCACGGCAAGACATTATTTGCTTTCTTCACTGCTGCATTCGCACTGCTGCTTCACACAGGGCTGCAGTCAGACATTGCCAGAATGTTTTCCTCCTGCTTAAATAATGATGCAATTGCTCGGGAGAAAGGGAGAAATTAAAGAGAGAGAGAGAGAAAGGAATAACGGCTTTCAGAGAGACGGTGTTAATGAAACTGCTATTAAAAGAGGAGCCATTGTAATAAAAGTTAAAAGAAGTGAAACTGAATGGCTCGACCATGCAAAAGGACTGAGTATTTTTACTGCACCCCTCTGGTTCTTGTGGTTTCACCCAAACTAAATTAAAATGAACACCTTCAGGCAACCCGGCAGTAAACAAAACTCTTCAAAATAGAGTACGCTTCTAATTACAGTGTAACAAATGTGTACTCTTTCATCTACAATAGCGTCCCCCCCCATAAAATGTAGTACAGTCATTTATGATTAGACAATCTAGAAACCAGACTTACCAAGTTCTTATAATGAACTAGAGGGGGGAAACCCCAGTAATTTAAACTAAAAAGCACAACTAATGAGAAAAGCGCCACCATACCAACATCCTCCGTTCAGGTTTTTTCTTATGTTATCTCTGCCATATCTTGCTTATGAAAGTGAAGCCTCCGAAACCGATTGGCTGGGCTGCTGTGATGGAACAGAATGTTCCTAGCCACTTCATGCTCGGGGAACAACACTGACCTAGTCTGCACATCAGTGCAGGCACCTCCTTAACTATGGCTTGAGTGTGGTTTGCTTCATTTCCTCACCCAAATCAGCTGTCAAGCAACGAAGCTACTAGGCAAGACTCACTAGAAAATGGAGCTGCTCTCAGCATTCCACCCCCGTTGGCATTTTCCCCCAAACTGACATTGCTGCTAATGTAGCCCAGTAATAGGTTCATTTCCCCCCTGCCCCCAGCTCAATTCTGCCCTGTCTGCACATCGCTTCTGTTCACAACTGTGGCTTTAGCTCGGCTGCATTTCTGCCTGCATATTCTTTCAGAAAATGTGAATTAGGTCTGTTTCCCTTTAAATGCAAACTGAATCTCCCATTCCTGCCTGACTGTCTTTACAACTAACAGATGAAACTACTTAAGTGTGCATTTGTGTTGCAGTCCTTCAGCTGCTGCCCCACATCAGCTGAGGTTTAGGGGACAGTTAGGCCATCCAGCCCAGTGAGAGTGATGCTTATTAAAGTCAAAATATAATTCATAGTAACAGCCTATTGTTTGTTTGGGGGAAAGAGAAATGAAAAAGTGTGGTTATAGAGTGGAAGAGTAGGCTAAAAGGGATAAACAACTGCAAGCTGCAAAGGAGTATGGGTGTTTCTTTCTTGAGAGAGCAGAAGTAAGGGGTAACTGGCTGTTGGACAATTGCCAAGATTGCTAAGATTCCCACACCGTCACTCTCACAGGTGACCAGTGGAAAGAGAAATGCTAATACGGCTAGGAAAGGCCAGTAGGTGGGTACCACAGAGACTTAATGGGTGTCAAGTAGAGAGACAGCTGAGGGTGGGAATTAGACTGGGGGGATGAAACAAAGCATAGCTAATTGAATAATCTGCAGGACATCTTTTGGCTTAATGGTGGTTTCTTCAATAAACCATGGTTTAATAATGCTTTAATCGGACATGCGAACAGGGCCAAAGTTCTTCTCATACATTATATTTTTGTAATTACTCAAGAGAGAAAGATTTGCCTGAGTTCATGTTAGTTGAACTGAAATCAGGAACATATTGATTTGTCGAACAGTCTCTTTGCCACTATATTACGCTTGCTTTTCTATGAAACTCCATGCACCCTTAGATCTTATGAAGAAACCCTGCTCTGTGAGCAATCGCAATTGACAGCTAGTTTGTCTGCCATAAGGAACAGAGCATTCTCTGTTGTGCTGTCACAATGGTTGGATTTCCTCCAAATCTTTATTATCTGAAAGACTGAGAAGAAGGCATCTGGTGTGGGAATATTTTTTTTCCAAATTTGTACTGTGTTTCACTAACAATTTTATTGCAATATTAGATTTATTTTATCCATGTGTAACCTAGCAGTTTATGCGTTAGAGAAAAGTGGCTGAAAAATATAATTAATAATAACTGACTGGCTTGGCTTCCATTTTCTTCATGGAATCAGTAGAATTTCCAGGAGCTGGTCTAATTTTTGGTTGACTGCACAGTGGACCTTAATGTTCCAGTTTATGTTCTCATCTATTCCATACCATTTTTATCGGGGAACGTATTTGGCTACCAACATTTAATGTGTTTTCTACAATGCAGCAAGAGAGATTAATGGGAGATAAGAATTGTAAAGCCGTTTGTTAGATTAATGCTCGATAATACACCTTCCAACATTCCACATTAAGGAGTTGGGGTGTGCTTTGTAATATTCCACTTCTCATACCAAGGATCACTATCTAAATCCCCTGACTCCCTTAAACACTGTTACCATACATATTGCTAAAGGCTCTATGCTACATCGGTGTGCTGTATTTATTAACTCTGCAGTAACCTGTGCCTTCCATTGATTTAAATACTAAGAGAGTGATGGCTCTTTTGGTAAAGATAGACTAGAAAAACACAACTGTTCAAATTATACATCAGCAACTGCAGTGTGTGAAATGGCAGGCTGTGCACCGTGTGGCTCCTTAGTATTCAGGCCCATGCATTTACCTGGAGACAAGATGAATCCATTACCCATTCATACACTTCAATTCTGAGAGATCTCAGGGGAGCAAAATCCTGAAGCTAAATCCAGTCTGAATCCAACACAGACTGACAGTGCAATCCTTTACTTCTTTACTCAGAAGTAAGTGTTGTAAGATACAGTTACTGACGCACACTTGCATGCATGAAAGGTTTAACCTGAGCGCAGGCTGCTCTCTGCGGCCTTTTGTTTGCTCCCTTCCCGTCTCAGTCTCTTTGTGCTTCCTGGAACAAGCAAGAAAGAGCCATGTGGAATGGCTCCCATCTGCAAGAAAAACCAAGTGAACTGAATTGCTCTAAAAATGAGATTTTATAGCCTGCGTCTTTGCTAACACAAAGACTGCATGATCCTGTTTGTAAGGAAACAAAGTTCTTTTCTTTTTAAGTTGTTTGGGACCTTTTTGCACCTTCAAATTACTGCCAACAGATGGAGACTTATTTTCGGTAACTTCTGGAACCTCTGTGAGTAAAATATTCACCTGTTTGCACAGCTAAGCGTCTGAGAATTATTCTAGTCTAAGTATTTGCATGGGGAACATTTGTTTAAAGGTAGATAAAGGCAGATGTACAGTAAATCCCACCAAGTTTAAATGTGCTTGAATCAACCACTATTGTGCTAACTCTGCTACAGGAGAGTCAGGATCTCTCTTTCAAACCTTTCAACAGGTAAGTGGGCATAAGACTGCTGCCTAACAATGTGGCCCTAACCCCTTGAGCTGCGCTGCTGGAGGAGGTCAGGGTTAAGACCAAGGCAATCCTCTACCACCTGCTGCCACAGTAGAAGCTCCCCAGCTACTCCCAGCGGGATGGGAGCTACCACTGTGGTTCTCTATGTTGGTGACAGCTGCATAGGGTTCCTAGTTTTTCTGAACATTTCTAATCTGATTTTTTTTCCTTATATCCTTTCAGAAGTGAATGTTGTAGGTAGGGAAAGTATCCAAGGATCAATATTTAATAAGGAGAAACTGTCCCAATATACTGCAGAGTTGTTATTATTTTTTTACAGCAACTTGACTTGTTCTGGGATGTGTGTTGATTTAAATATTTACAACGAAAAGGTTTCATCTTGCTTACCTGATGTGTTGTTATGCACTTTCCAACTAATGCATAATATGACAAATTTATTTATATTTAAAGGTTTTTTTACAACCCAAAGAAGAAGAAGGGGCTGGGGAAAGGATCCCAGAGAGCCTTAAGCAATAAAGCAAGACAGTCCCTGCCTTCAAGCTTAGAATCTAAAACACAGAGAGGGACAAGGGCATTCTGATGCTCTTGATGCGACACCCATGCTATGCTTGCATGGTGCTGAGCTTCCATTGCCATGCCCCTTCCCTTCTTCCTCTCAGTAAGCACCAGCACCCCACTGTGTTGGGAGGCCAGGACAGCAACAGAGGCCCACCTGCACCACCTTCCTGGTTGTTCCTTATTGGAGCGAAGAGGAAGAAAGCAAATTTGTGCATCAGTGCTTACAAGGTCCCCCAACCTTTTAAAAATAACCAGCTGAGGTGGGGACAGTCCCAGTTTTCTTCTATCTCTCCCTATTTTTGCCTTTCAGGGAAGCCTCATTAAAATGCTGTTAGTGTTGCCATTCTCCAGGGTTTCTCTCCACTTGGCTCTAGAGTAGAGATGGGGCCCTTGGATGATGGTGAACTTCACCTCTCATCATCCTTCACTGCTGGTGACATTGGCTTGGAGTCTGACGGCATCTGGAGTGCAACAGGACCCCAGCTTTTCTGTACAAATTAAATCTTTGAATGGAAATGCATTTTGTCTTTACATCACACACGTGTAACAGTCTTGAGAATGAATGAGTCAGCACACAACACACCCACTCCGCCACCAGCTTCTGTGGCTTGTTTTTGAACTGTTGACGACATGCTGTATTCTGTTTTCTGCTTTGTTCTTTTAAGCATTCTCTTGTAGCTTTTAAATCAACCAAGGACAGGAAGCTTACAACACTATTAAGAGCCTTCAACAGTGTGCCAGTATTAGAGAGGATGGGGCTCAGGTAGTGTCGCTTGAAATGAGAACTGGGCCATTACCCTATTTCATCTACTGACAATCCTAACTGGTCTTGTCTGCTCAGAAGTAAGTCACGCTGTGAGCCCAGGTAAGTGCATCCGATTGCAGCAAAAGGCTAGGAGTGAGTGCCGTTGAATGACATTGTAGAAACATGCATAGGGCTGTGCTTTACTCTTCCATGCACTGGAATCTTACACACACTTCCCTTTTGCATAGACTCACATTGGACTGAACTGTCAGAATAATATTATTCCAATCACTATGCAGATACCAGAACAACAACAAAAAAGTGTTTACTTTTTAGTGTTCTGATTTCTCCACAGTGGCCCAATAGCCTTTTAGAAGTTTAACTCTTATTTAGTGTGGAGTGACTTTCTTTTCTTTTCTTTTTTGAAGGCGGCCTACTTCTTGTGCATCTGGTGAAGTTTGGTTTGAAGTCTAAGAAAGCTCAGCATGGTTGGCCCAAGACATGTTGCTGCTGAAACAACATTTTGGCACCTGATTTGGCAAATCCAGCAAATAGGTCTGTCCCTCCCGAGCAATGAAAATTGTTGTTGGTTACATACCACTCCGATCTCCAAAAGCAATGCAAGATTCCAGGGGCATACCTAGCCATTGATGAGGTTGGCTCTGCCAAGGGCACAGGTAGGTGCAAAAACTGTGATGTTGCTTGGTTCCCTGCTGCTGCTGCTGCTGCTTTTACATTTAAGAATGCAGTGGTGCCTCTAGTTACGAACTTAATTCGTTCCGGCGGTCCATTCTTAACCTGAAACTGTTCTTAACTAGAGGCGTGCTTTCGCTAATGGGGCCTCTTGCTGCCGCTGCGCCGCTGGCACACGATTACCGTTCTCATCCTGGGGCAAAGTTCTCAACTCAAGGTAACTCTTCCAGGTTAGCGGAGTTTGTAACCTGAAGCGTTTGTAACTTGAGGTACCACTGCAGAACTTCCCTTGCAGGCTGCAGCCAGATCTTTTACAGAAAGCAGGCCTCATTACAATGTTGCAACTTGCCTATTTACACCTTATACCGTAGGGTACATATTTGCATCAGACTTCATACTGAAACAAAACAGGCCTGCAAGAAGCCCAGAACTTTATTTTAATGCCCTTAAGGATGACTGGGAAAATATTAGCTAGAGTCTGACATTCATTCATTTATTGAGTTAAGGATGGGGGATCTCCCCCACAAAAAAACTTAAGACAAATACCCCCCCCCCCCCCGCATAGATATATTGAAACCAAGAGGAAAGCTAAATTTAATAACAATTACCCTTTCCTGACACCGGAATTGGCTCCCTGCAGCTCCAGCCTCCCTCTGCCTAAGGGCAAGACCAGACTTGTATGGACATAATTCAGTCCTTATCAGTGCAACTGTAGGCAATTTTATCCAGAAGCTAAAGCCCCTTGAGTTCAGCGGAGCGCAATTCCATTCATGCCTACTTAAGCACGCGCTTCCGTGTTTCTAAGGGCTTAATAGCCAGGTATAGGATTGCAGCTTCACTTCCTAGTACGTATATTTAGGATTGGAGCCCAAACTGCCTCAGATAGCAGGGTGATCGTATAGGACCTTAATCCCTAGTATGGTACAGATTTTGGACTCCAACCTAGGTTGCCTCAAATAGCAGGATTGCAGCCTTCGTCTCTAGCGCATGTATCTAGGATTGTGGCGCCTTCTGAGCTTTAGAAAGTGGGCTGCCTTCCACGTGGCGTTCCCTCTCCTTTAAAAACAAAACACTCCCTTCCCCGTCCAGTTCTTCGTTTCCTCCTTTCGTTCCAAATCGATCCCAAGGGAGGGCGGGCGGGTGTGTGTTTCTCTCTGGCCGGAGAGAGGCGGGGCGTCGCCTGGTGGGCGAAGGCGAGGCGCCAAGCAGCGTCTGTTGCCTTGGGCGCTCGTCTCCTCCGCCGGCTCTCTCGTCGGACAGGGCGGGGAGGCGGCGGTGGTTCCGAGCTGCAAACTCGGCGTGGCTGAGAAGGTGGCGACACAGACGCGCACAGAAAGACCAGAAGAAAGTTCTAGCAGAGCCACAGGGCAGCCCTTCTCCATGGAAGCCTCGCGGCCCGGACTTGACTTCTGGGCGCGCTGCGCCAGGAGCGACGAAGCTCTGGTGCTTTAGACTGGCCTCTCCCGGGGCGGAGAGGCGTCTGCGCGCAAGCAGCCATGGGCGACTTTGCAGAGGAGCCGCAGCAGGCGGAGGACGAGGCGTGCTGCGACTTCGAGCCTTTGCCTGCGCTCTCGGAGGACGAGGTGAGCGTGGCCCGAGGCGAGGACAGAGCAGCCCGGGCGCCGCGCGCAAACTTGCCCTGGACGGTCGCCTCCATCCACCCGGCGCACCTTCCAGCTCCAGCTTCCCTCCCCGCTCGGCTGCTTTCTGTGTGTGGCGCTTGTCTCGGGGCGGAGGGTGGAATCGCCCCTGCTAGGCCACTCCGGGGATAATGGGCTCTGGTTGACCTGCGGTTGTTGCCCTCCCGTGTTGTGGGAATGTAACCTAGGAACCGCATTTCCATGGCCTGACAACCGTTGGCCGCTATTAACCTTTCGGGGAATAGGCAGCAGCAGCAGCAGCAGCAACTGGTCAAAATTGCTCCATAAAGGCGACTGGCTGAGCCCAGTCCACTTTTCAGTGAAAACTACCCCACATGCCTTTTAGAAAACAAAAGCACAAAAAAGTGAACCTTTGGTACAGTCAGTTGCAAAGACGACCTATTAAGCAAGTTTTTAAAAGTAGGTAAAGAGAGGCTGAAGTCCTAACATGCTTGGTTTTTTTTAAAGCCTCATTGAAGTCAATGGTTGCTAAGTAAACACAGAGATTGAATCAAGCGGGTTTAATCCCTTAAGGTAGGTAGAGAGGCTGAAGTCCTAGCAGATCTTGTTCTGAAAAAGCCTCCTTGAAATCCCTGGCTGCTACATAAAGGTAGAGGATGACTTGTGACCTCTAAGCAAAGGGGGCCGAATCCCATAAAGTCAGCTGCCCCTTTGATCCCATTGATTTTAGAGGGAGAAATAAGCAGAAACTTAACTCTCACAGAAGTCAGCGGGTCTTACACTGCTGGAGTGTGCCCATGTTTAGGGTCAGTTTGAAACACTGGTATCTTTCTAAAGTCGTGGACAATAGCTCAGCTGGTTAGAGCATGGTGCTGATAATGCCAAGGTTGCAGGCTTGATTCCTGTATGGGACAGCTCTATTTTCCTCCATTGTAGGGGGTTGGAATAGCTGATACTCAGGGTCCCTTCCAACTCTCTGATTCTAAGCATAATTTCACTTTTTGAAGTGTGCTGAATTACCTTCTGTGTATGTTACCAGTCTATATTAATACAATGGCGTGTGCTTTGAGAAACTGAATTTTAGATACTTCAATAAAGTGCCAATATTATGACTTTCCATGAAAGGCCTTTAGTGCAACAAGATGTGTTCATCAAACTCTATACATGTGCCAATAAAAGCACATAGGAATGTAAATGTGGTCTTCCACTTGTACTGGAAGTAGGTGGGTTTTCATTCAGATCAAGGCATTCTTTGGTTTGTAGTTTGCTCATTAGTTAAAGATTTTGCTTTAATGGAGCTAAATCATTTTGGGGAGCAGAGAAGAGTAAGCTTAATATATTGGCCTTGGATACTGCCCTAAGTATTTACCCAGAAATGTCAAAAAGCAGCTTTAAAAAATGAATGTCAGTGTGAGAATTATTTAAATTTTCAACTTCCTAGAAAAAACATGCATTCATTTTTTTGGGGGGGGGGAATCAAGTGATAAATCTGTTTGTTAGCTTGCTCATAAGGAAGTATTTTGTGTTGACAAAGTACATGCAATGTCACAAACAGCTACTTTGGAACTGCTTACATTGAGAAGTAAAATACTGTAACAGTTGTGAGCACCAATCAAGTTAATAGTGGATATTAACATAAAGTAGGTGTTGTTGTTTAGTCATTTAGTCGTGTCTGACTCTTCATGACCCCATGGACCTCACCCCAGGTGAGGTGATAGTAGCAATATTTACCTCCCCCCCCCCCATGAACCTTTGGACATATAGGAAAGGTTTAATATTTTTTATAAATGTGTCTCATTTTCTTTTAGCATCATAGATGAGTAAATAAATACATACCTCTCTCATCTTGGATTTATGTTAATTCCATGCATTTTTCATTAGTAACAAGCTATTTGGAGGAAGGGAAGGAGATGGAATTATTTCATTTTTCCTGTGCTGCTCATTCATAGCTGTGCCCCACAAGCCCTGTGCTATGTCATTGACAATCACCTTAGCAACTGTTCCAGATGAAATACAATTTGGAATCTGTAGACAGCTTCAACTAGAGAAAAAGAGCACCACAGACAGTAGGGGGGAGAATTAAGAAGAACAGGAGAGGAATGGAACAACTGGAAGTCACCATAAAAGTGCACTGTGTGAAAGAGACATGTGTCTTCTAGATCTTTTGTCCTAGAAAGCCTTAAACTTGCTGGAAACATGTTGGGTTTGTGTATTATAGATTATATTTGACACAATTGGCTGCAAGTAATGTCAAAAAATGTGGAGTAATTTATGAATTCATGTCTTGGCAGGAGAACGTGTCTCTTGCTGATGTATTGTCACTGCGGGATAGCTGTCTCACTGAGGAAGATATCTGGGCTGTTTGCTTGGAGTGTAGCCAGTCTCTGAAGAGCATTGCCCATTCTGCAATCTTTCAGACACTTTGCATTACTCCTGACACTTTGGCTTTTAACACCAATGGCAATGTATGCTTCATGGAGCAGATCAGTGGTAAGTATTTATGCTCCTAGGCAATTCGTTGCAAAGTGCAAAAACTCACGCTGAGAGGATGTAGTGAAACATTATATTCTCTCCATCAGATTTGTACATGGATTTTAATTAGATTGGAAACTGTAATTTCTTAATGCAAGGATGAGTGTCAGCCCACGTAAAGCTAAATTAGGATATATCAACTAATACTGTATGTTCATTTAGTTGTTACAGTGTTGAACAAAGGTTTCCAATTCAAATTTTAATAAGCTTTTAGATTCAATTCATTGGGCTAATCAATATCTTCCAAAGGATCTACATGATGATTGCTGCCATACACTTGTCTGAATGTGCTTTAAATCTAAAGAGAGTCTTACAACTAGGAGAGGATGTGAGGAACTGAGGAGGAGATGCCCTAGTAAAAACTGATGTAGCTGGCATTGGAAATTTTTTTTTTAACAAACAATAGGTTAAAGCCTTACGCAACTTACTGTCCCTCCAGTGAATTGGACTCATACTTGTTGGAAATAATGATGGCTAAGAATTAAATTCCAAACTGTCCCCATATTCCATTAATCTGTATGCTGAAATACTATTGGCTAAGATGATCAGAGCAATGTTGCCTTGCCTCAGTATTTCTAAACACTGTGAAGAAGAAGCCTGGGGGGAAACAAGAAGGCTGGATGGAAAGCTGGGTAATATTTAATCCTTCCGATGTGGCAAGAGGAAACCTATGAGGAAGTGGGAGTGATGGGCAGACATGGTTCTCCCATATGTGAGAGGAATTGGGAATGTTCTGTTAATATAATTGTGTCCTGAAATGCTCATCCAGCTAGCAACAGAGAGTATACTCTGTTTTGGAGGTGGGGACTCTTTGCAAATATGGAGAGATGGGGTTTAAAAATGAATGTGATGTGGGGAGCTGCCTGTAAGCAACTGGAGGAAGGATGGCTCTCTGGACCTGTCTGCTTGGAACTGAGGAAGAGAAGGCACATCAGAGCCAACTTCTACTCTTCTGAGGCCTTGTGCAGATGGGCAAGTCAGAAGTAGAGTTGAGGGCTCCACCACAGATGCAAGATGTATTCCCTTTTATTCTGGGTAACTATGCCGGCCTTGAAATTAACTACCTGCCTTGGGCAAGTAACAGTAATTTCTAAGAAAGTAGCTTTCTCAGGTTATGTGACACAAGATAAATGGGGCATATAACTTTGCTTATGTACTGGTAAATTTTTCATACTGTCCGTCAAGCTGTACTATATTAGCTCATTGGTTTTATTTTCATGTCTTGTATTTTTTCAAGCACCTTTAAATTGGGTCTAGCAGCTTGCAATACAAGATTTAATGGCTTCAGCATGGATTTATTATCTGTCTAGCAGCATCTCAAAACTCATTGTAGTAAATATGTAGTGGGGCAACTATGTCATCAGAGGTGTTCTCTAAATGTTTTGGGACTCCTGACAACCAAGGCTGCAATCCTGGCACTGGTTACTTGGGAGTAAGCCCTAATGAATTCAGTGGGACTTACTTCTGAGTAGGCATGGTTAGGATTGCAGGTGAGGAACCTGTGCTGTCTTGATATTGTTGGCAACCAACTTCCATTGACTGAGGCTGATAGGAGTTGGAATCCCAACAATGTTGGAAGGACCACAGATCCCCAACTCCTATAGGACAGAGATATAACCTCTCTCACTGATGTGCCATTTTATATATGAGGATCTCTGAGATGGGTGTGTAGGAGGAAGAGGTAGCATCCTTACTCAGCATAAAATAGCATAGAATAGTGCAGGGAGATGGTGTTGGTTGTTGGTTTAGTCTTATCTGGAGTTTCCACGTCTGGGACAAGTGTGGATGGTCTTGTCCCTTTTTTGCTTTTCCCCACAAAGTCAAGACCTCCTCCTATCACATTTGTTTTTCTTATTTGTCTAGGTACAACTTCCTCACTAATTCTAAGACTGCTGTATAAATATCCTGGAGACCCTGAACTAAGACATCAGTCTTATTTTTCCTCTTTGCCCTTTCTTGGACCTTGCATTTGATGAAAAGCTTAGTATGGAGAGGATTTCAGATTGCCGTTTCTGATTTGTCAGAACTTAGACATGCTTAAATAGCTTCATGGAGCTATATGGTCATTGAAACAGATGTCCAGCACCTTTACATTCTAAGGGGCCTTGCTTGCATACAACCAGAATTCTGTTTTGAAATTTCTTGTAATGTGAAAGGTCAACTGTCTTAGACTTTTTGATAGTAGTTGGTAGGAACTGAAGCTAAACAAATTGAACTGATTTACTCAGTGCTGAAGCCTTTGAGATCTTCAGCAAGCTTGTTACTACCTATTTGTTCTCTGCTTTCTCTCTTTCATAAAAAAGATTAATTTATTTAACAACCATGTCAGAATTTCTAAATCTCCAGTTCTCTTCTCAAGTTCATTGATGATGTCTTTCTAGATTGCATTTAACTGTGATGTAATTGTTGAAATGACAAGAGAACAGAATTTGTGGATAGCATTGCACTGATGGTGTCCTCTCTCCAATGATTCAGTAGCCTCAATTGAGTGATGTGTTAAATAATAATAATAATAATAATAATAATAATAATAATAATAATAATTTATTATTCATACCCCGCCCATCTGGCTGGGCTTCCCCAGCCACTCTGGGCGGCTTCCAAAAGAATATTAAAATACTGTGATACATCAAGCTGAACTCCTCAAGCTGAAATCCTCAAGCACTGCTCCTTGGATGTTTTTGTTTAAAAGGAGATGTCTCTGGCTTGATTTGTCCATTTCACCCTAAATTTAACCTGCTGATAACAAAGTGCTCTAGTGTTGCACTTGCTACTGTTCCTAGGTGCAATATTCACCCATTTCAGTTTTGCACCTAGAAATATTTCATTCATTTTGTTTGTATGATGCTTTTCCATACACAAAAATTGTGCTCAAAGCAGCTTGCAACAAAGAAACACATGCATTTCAAACAAACATTACAAAAACAATTTCATGATAATGTAGAAAAGCAGTATCAGTAACAATTTCGGAACATAGCAAAACAAAAATAATAGCGTATTAACATAGCAAAACAACAGCAAAAGTAGTAATTTACCAAACAGCCACATTCTAGTACTATAAATATGGAAAGATTACTTAAGCAACATGTAACATCCAATAGTAAAAATAACAAGGGAGTTTCACAGATTCACCACACTCCTAAAAACACCCCTCTCAGTCCCTCTCCTGCAGCAGCAGCTTATAAGGCTTCCAAGGGCAAAGGGGGGGGGGTAGCTGGAAACACCCCTCCCATGATATTGCCACCTACCCACCTGCTGTGTATTTACCCTTAGCAACTGAGACTTTTTCAAACCTGCTTGCAGCCTTAGTTCCTTCTGTCCACTGTTGTCATCATCATCATCATTATCACTAGAAATTGAAGATTTATGTGGCATAAGTGGAGACTAAGGCTATGTCACTAGGTGAACACTTGAATCCTCTTTCACTATAATTCCCCCCAAATTATGAATGGGTGAGGGACAATATCTTCCTATGCAGTTAAGAGTATTCATGAAAATTGCCTCCATACTTTTGTTCAGATGCTTTTTCCTAAATGTGTCCCTCTCTGGTTTATAGAGCTCCAGTTTTAAGCGTTGATACTGCTTTGCTCGTATTGTGTTATCAAACAAACCCAACAGAGTAATTGTATACTTTGGATCATACTTTGTTTCTGAGGTGGTGCTGGTGGGAGACTAGGATCAGACCATGAACTAGTGTGGTACCTCAGGTGTGCCACTTCCCTGCTGGGGAGATAATTCACTATGGAGATACTAATAAATTAACTGGAAGATCCTATGTCTGTCTTTATGCAAGGTCTCTCTGACCCTGTAAGACAGAATGTGCTAGAAATATCTTCCAGAAGAGCCCAGAGTCAGCATCTTAAGATCTGGAGTCTGTAAGAATCTATCAGTCTGTCAGCCTTCTTCTTCATCCTTGAAATGGATTGATGGCATTTAACCTTCAAGATAGCTACACATGACAAGGATTAAATAGTTTGCAGTTTGTTTTTTCCCATTAGGCACATGCGATGATAAGGTATGTCTTTATCACTCTTATTTGGGATATTAGTAATTCCTTAAATAGAATTACTTGTGAGTTATACAGAACACCTTTACGATGCCATTTTTAAAGAGGAAATATTAGAAAATAATTGTATCAGTTTTGTGTGATTTTTTTTTTGGCAATGCATATTGCTGCATTTATATAATTCAGTAGTCAAAAGCTGTTGAATCTACTTTATAGATACTGGAAGGATTTTTAAAATTTTGTTCTTGAAACATTCTGCTTGAATGTATTCTATTTTAACTTCTTAATCCCTGCTTCTTTTTAAAGATGACCCAGAAGGTACCTTTGTGCCACCAGAGATTGATGAAACTGGTAACACATTTGAGGTAAGTAATGAAGTTTCCATGTAACAACCTTGTCCTTCTATAACCACAAATAGTTTCATAAAATTTTGAATTTTTGAATATGAGCTGTTTATTCCCCAAAGTGAACGTCTATATGTTCCCCCCTCCCTTGATTTTGGCCCCCACATATTTTAATATGGATCACGGACAGATTTTTGTTGTTGTACTAACAATGACTTCCAAGAATTCAGTCCTTCATTATGTACTGAAATGAAACAAAACAAAACACTGTTTGGCAGATAAAAGTAGTGGTTTGCACTAAGCACCAGCTCTTTTAAACTCTGATTTTTCTTAATTTGTTCAAGGACTAATTCTGAATTTTATTTTGTTGTTGTTGTTGGAACAGAGCATACCAGGCACTCCTGTCTTCCACTGCCTCCCGCAGTTTGGTTAACTCATGTTAGTAGCTTCGAGAACACAGTCCAACCATCTCGTCTTCTGTCGTCCCCTTCTCCTTGTGCCCTCCATCTTTCCCAACATCAGGGTCTTTTCCAGGGAGTCTTCTCTTCTCATGAGGTGGCCAAAGTATTGGAGCCTCAGCTTCACGATCTGTCCTTCCAGCCTTCCAGTGAGCACTCAGGGCTGATTTCCTTCAGAATGGATAGGTTTGATCTTCTTGCAGTCCATGGGACTCTCAAGAGTCTCCTCCAGCACCATAATTCAAAAGCATCAATTCTTCGGCAATCAGCCTTCTTTATGGTCTAGCACTCACTTCCATACATCACTCCTGGGAAAATCATAGCTTTAACTATATGGACCTTTGTCGGCAAGGTGTTGTCTCTGCTTTTTAAGATGCTGTCTAATGCTTGTCATTGCTTTTCTCCCAAGAAGCAGGCGTCTTTTAATTTTGTGTCTGAATTTTATAGCAAACTATAAAATGTACTTGGTATTTTCTATAAAAATAACTCATGATGGAATAGTTAATTTGGTCTTCTGGTATAATGAACTTACCAACTGATGTCTATAGCCTAGTAGTTCATAAATGTTCTTTATTCTTGAACTGAATTAGTGGCATAATTGTTTCCATTGATTCATTAGCCTCCCTGATCAGACACCCTTTAGACCAACTGCAATGTGTGAATTTTTGTTGTACATCCTGTTCAGAATATTCAATGTTTTGTTGTTTCTATTATGAATTATATTCAAATAGTCTAATTAGCAGTGTGTGAATGTGAGCATCTATTTTTTATAGAGCCATTGTATAGAGCTACTCAATTAAAATCCTCATAATTTTTCTCCATTTTAAAAATAATGTGTAAATGAGTCCTGGCAATTGGAATATTATATATCAGCAGGATGCAAAACAGTATTTCACATTATTAAGTTTCTTTTAAACTATGCTTTTAGATCTTTCAATCTATAGGGCAGTTACCTGAACCTACATCAAATGTATCACTACACTTTTATTGGTAATAAAAGTGAACTTATTGGATATGTTTCAGCATTAGGTACCTGGCCAATTGTGGCTGATAGTGCTGCTGTTTTATATCCGCTTTATTTTAGGTACAATTATTCTATTCATTTGAAAGACATACCATACTTTTCCGTGTATAAGACACCCCCTATTTTGGGGGGCTCTAATTTAAGAAAATGGGGGGAGATGGCTCAGAGTTGTGGAGCTTTTTTAAGGGGGGAAATGTCAAAAATCGCTCATCCACACATGCCGCTCAATCCGCCTCTCATCTGTCCCCTCACCAGCAGAAGCTACCAATTGCCGCAGCATTAGCCAGTCAACACCAGCCCTTGACGCAGCAACCAATAACACACCTAATAGTTGCTGACAGCTGCGGCAGCAACCAATCAAACATCCACCCTATGCACTATCTGTTGATAAGATGACCCCCACTTTTTCGCATAATTTTTAAAGAAAGAAACCTAGTCTTATACACGGAAAAGTATGGTATTCTTTCAATCAGTAGACCACCTAAGAGTGATGGTCTCACTTTTTAATAGGAGTGGGGAAGAGCTGCATTAACTTGTGTCTAACCTTCTGGGTGTCCCATGTTGCTAGTATGTCAAGCCAATGCAAAAAAAATGGGTGGGATTCTTCTCCCTCTCATATATAGTACCCATTCATAGGTATTTTTTCAGCCAGAATTCAGTTCTGGAACATGGGCGCCATTGTCATTCAAAGAGAATAAGGCGAGTTCATGGCAAGTTCTGGCACCTCTTTTTCTAGAAAAATAGCAGTGCTATGGGTGTAGCCAAAGGGGAAGGGGGGCAGCTGCCCCCCAGTCAATACAAATCTGAGGTTCTGACCCCCTTAACAAAAGTCTATCCCTTCCAACAAAAGCCTGCCCCTCCTAACAAAAACTCTAGTTATGCCCATGAGCAGTGCCCATACATACTCATTCCTACACATGCACCCACAATACAAACCCATATATCCCCCTCTCTCACACAGTATTATTTGAAGAGCCTCCCATCAAAAGGCAATTGGGCTTTTAGAGCGTAGGAGGCTGTTTTAAGCTTCATTTTCATGTGAGGGAAGACTTCACAGAAGACGAGTGGTCCCCACTCCTGCCTTATAGGGTTGCTGAATCAAAGGTTCCAAAATTCAAGAAGTTTAAGTTGCACATTGTGCAATATGTTGCTTCATCTGCAAAAATGAAATGCCACGAAACAAAAGGGAAGGAAACACATTACTAGTGGTTTTCCCAATATTGGAAAGTACCAGGAAAGTTCTTTTTAATATTCTCTTGATAAACTTGATACAAAGTTAAGTTCATATGTTATGCTCTCCCTTTTCAAGTAGTCTTGGGCAAGTTAGTATCATTCCAAATCTGTAAAGTGGTATCATTGTGATTACTTCATAGTGTTATTATGGTGATACAATTAAGGGGGGTTACACTAGGAAAAACACTTGCTACATAATACAGTAAGTCATAACTCAAGTCAGAATTTTGGGTCATACACTAGGGATGGTTGCAGCACGGACATCAAACAAAACCAACATGCTAGTTATATGAATTCTGAGGTTTGGGTGTTTTTTTTAGTTTACAGCAACAAAAGACATAGTTAAAATAGAAATGATGCATTTATTGAGGTTTAAGGAAGGTAAATGAACCCAGTTTTCTGCACTGAGTAGCTCTTTTTCAGCTGTAACTGTGTCCATGCCCTGAAACCAATCCTTGTTCACAACAATATGCCATGGAGAACTCTGTTTGAACAGCGATTCTGGATCACAGCCGTGACTGTCCTCAGTATCACTTGAAGCTCTTGCTCTCCTTTTGAAGATATCTATCCATATTCCGCAAATGAAAAACAATATTTTGATACTACACTGTACTGCACTGAAATATTTTAAGTGTTTATTTGTCCTTGAATCTTCCCACCACACTTGCCACCCTCTCCTGTCACGTCAGTGTGGTGCAGCACAGCCTTTGAGAACCATGGCCTTAGACTAGGTCAGGGATATCCAACACGTTGATTGCGATCCACTGGTAGATTAGATTGCGGTCAATCGCTGGCTGCCTTTCCTTAGCATAGGTAAAATACAATCTGGCCCCTCCCCATCACTCTGCTCTCCATTGTTGCACCATCTGCAGATTGGAAGACGGAGTTTACTCAGCAAGGGTGTTTGTTTTCTCAGCAATGTGCTGGTGAGTGGCTATTCCCCTATCTCCCTTGAAGTTAGGCATGAACTCTCCAAAATTGGGGCTTTCTCCCTCCGTAAAAAAGTTCAGCAACTTTGCCCCAAACCCCCAAAACCCAGGGCTGTCTAAAAAAGCTCAACAACTTTGACCTGGATGCCAAAAAAAAAGGGGGTAGATCACCGCCAGTTTTTAATTTTTTTTTTTATAAGATATTTATTAAGATTTTTTAAAATATTACAATAAAAATTAGGGGGGGGAAATGACAAAAATACAAAATAAAAATAGTTAAAAACACACAGATTTTCCATTACTTATTTTCCTTTGACTTATTTCCCGGACCTCCTCATACCTCCCTTTTTTGTATTCCACTTCAATCTGTTGGTTCAGCAAATCCTTTAAAAGTAATAATATTAAATGTTTACCTATTTATAACCCGTTTTTCATATTCCCTTAAAGCATTACAGCTGGAAACCACTTAATTACTATCCAACATCATTCTAGCATTCATTAATTTTACAATATTTCTGTAGATAATCTTTGAATTTCTTCCAATCTTCTTCCACCGACTCTTCTCCCTGGTCTCGGATTCTGCCAGTCATTTCTGCCAGTTCCATATAGTCCATCACCTTCATCTGCCATTCTTCCAGAGTGGGTAGATCTTGTGTCTTCCAATACTTTGCAATGAGTATTCTTGCTGCTGTTGTGGCATACATAAAAAAAGTTCTGTCCTTCTTTGGCACCAATCGGCCGACTATGCCTAGGAGAAAGGCCTCTGGTTTCTTCAAAAAGGTATGTTTAAATACCTTTTTCAGTTCATTATATATCATTTCCCAGAAGGCCTTAATCCTTGGGCACGTCCACCAAAGGTGAAAGAATGTACCTTCAGTTTCTTTACATTTCCAGCATTTATTGTCGGGCAAATGATAGATTTTTGCAAGTTTCTCTGGGGTCATGTACCACCTGTATATCATTTTCATAATATTCTCTCTTAGGACATTACATGCCGTAAACTTCATACCTGTGGTCCATAACTGTTCCCAGTCAGCAAACATAATATTATGTCCAACATCTTGATCACCGCCAGTTTTTAATTCAGTGAGTAGATCACAGTCTCATGGGTCTTGGCCACCCCTGGACTAGGTTACCGGCTTTATTCTGAGCAAGGATCATTTGCTAAACAGAGAGTGAGCCATTATGGTGTAAGCCACCACACTGTCACAGACAGGAGACTGCACACACCCAACTGATCCCCAGAACTCCTTGCCAATTCCAACATAAACAATGCCTATAGTTTGGCCATGAATCCTACTCTTGAGAGTGAATAAATCCCAGCCAGGCAAGCATATCCTGTCTTGATTAAATCAAGTGCCCTTTGTGCATTTACTGAGGAGACTCAAGCTTGTCCCTTTCAGTCAAGACAAGATCACTATATTCAAAATAAGATCTGTCAGGTAGAGACACCCTTGTAACTTTGCTGTAGCCCTTAAGCGGGATGCCTAGCCGATATGACTCAGGGTGACATGTGAGAACTCATCACCTGTGTCCTTTGTTATGTAATGATTCTCAGATTAAGCTCAAGTCTTTGTGAAAAGCCCCTTTGAAATCCCTGCTGAGATTTATACAGAAGGTTATACAGAGGGCGCTTGCATAGTATTCATTGGGAAGGAGCTCCAGAACAATAGTACTGCCACACTGAAAGCTCCTGGTACTCATGGAGCCAGTATCATTGTGAAGCACTGTCAAAAGTGCCACTACTGCTGTTTCTAGTGGTTGAGCAGGAATATATAGGGCAAGTAAAGTAGGCTCATGTTGTTTATGGCTTTATATACCTTAAATTTGCATATTAGTAGCCAGTAGAGATTGGCTGGGGAGACCTGGCCGGATGGGCGGGGTATAAATAATATAATTAGTTGTAGTAGTAGCCAGTAGAGACTAAGTAAAAATATTTTATGCTGATGATAAACTGTACCTATCAGGAGGTGTGCTGCCATGTTCTGCACTGGCTGCTGTTTCTCAAGTAGCTCCAAATGGAAATCATAGCCACTGTGTGGCTATGATATTTTTGCAGCTGTCAAACCAACATTTTGTAAAAAGCACCCCTGCCTGCTGAAGATACCTGGGTCAGCAGCAGCAGCTGAATGTAGGAGTACTACCACCAGATAGCATATCTCCCAGATAGGGAAACAATTGGAGTTTCCACCTCCAAATAATACCGGAGTAGTTTAGGGGAGAAGGATTTAAGGACCTCACAGTACCTCCTCCCCCACCCCCCGCTTCCCACCTCCACTGCCCTTATTAGTCCCAGGGAAAGGAAGTTTCCATTGATGCCATTCATGCATTAAATGTATCATCTAATTTGGTTGTCTTATATGTGGAAAGGAACATTAATATTTCATATTTCCCTCCACAGTGTATTGATCAAGGAGACAAAAGCCTTATACTGGTATTGCTTGGAAATAATAGGAAACCAGAGTTTTGAAATCAGTCATTAAAATAGGTGCAGTTTTGAAAGGTTCAGTCTGTCATCTTGATTGAAATGGGTGAACTTTAATACAGTTTCCATACATGTAGAAAAAGGAATATGGTTTGTCTCTGGTTATTCAGGCTTTCTTTACATATTCACCAAACTAAGAACCCTTTATTTAATGTGGAACAGTGTGCTCATGTTCTGCTTTACAGAAGTACAGAATAATGTGTAGTATTGTTGAAACGTGTACATGCATCGACATAAACAGATTCTGAGTAGTAAAAAAAGGGTGGAGAAGAAGAATAGTGAAACTTTTGTGTACAAAAGATGTGGGTAATGCCTGCATCTGCCCAATGCCTCACCAAGCACTGAAGAATTCATCGTTAAATTAGGGTTCCAAGTTATCCTAAGTAGTGGCTCAATTATTTAAAGTTGCTGCACCATCAGTGGTAGACTGAGAATGTGGAAACATAGGTGTGTACTAGCCTAGTGTTTTACGTGGTGCCAAAATTTCAGCGTAGTGCCACTGATACTCCTACACTGGCAAGATCTTTTTCTAATCACTGTGGCACCATCACAGTGGCATGAGAGCTGATATGACTAGTAGTGGTGCCATTGTTCACACTCATTCTACAGCTGCTGCCTCTGCTACTACTGCACATTGATCTGGCGCCACTAATGTGCAGTCCTGTTCTAGTCTCCTTAAACAGAATAATCAAATAATGGCATCTGAGCCAATACACTGTATGTGTTGTTTTGTTTTGTATTAACTGAAATGGATAGTCGCTTCAGTGGCTGTGAATAGCAATAATGGAAGAGGAATATATAATAGGCATAGCTACTTCAAACATCGTGCTATTATTTTACATAGAGATCCTGTGCAGGAAGTTGTTGTGTAGTCATTGCCGCGAACATCGCTTGCATTCGCACAATTGAAATACATTAGAAATGTTGTTAAAATAATTGGTGTTGTAAATCTGCTATATATTTGAATGGCTCAACAGGGAGCTAGTTATGAAAACTCCCCGTTACTATTGTTAACAGCAGAACTGACAAATTTAATTGTGCTGCCTTTTGAGGCTTTAATATAAATACAAACCATGCCATGTTGTCTACTGCTAAACACTGACGTTAGCTTTCATTTTTAAAAGTCAGCTCAAGCATCTACAAAACCTTACCTCACCCCGCAAGGTCTTTGTCGGTAAGCTTGCTTTGCGGTGACATTAAAAGGCTAATTCTGCTTACTCCCCTAGATGTTCAATGAAAAATATGAGTATATAGATTTGGTTATTATTATTTTTTAATATTGTGTTTGCTCAGTATGGATCACTTGCCCTTTAGGTGACATTTTGTCTAATTCAGACTCTGCCTAGCCCAGTAAGCTGAAGGGGTGAGTGGGCTTCAGGCAGTAGTGGGGACATGCAGTGACGCACAGTCTGATGTTCAGTGGAGAAGTACCATGTGAAGTAGCTGCTGTCACCCCTATCTTCATTTGGGGGGGACTGAATAGTGGGGAGCTTCAAATCTCATATTGGCCCTGGTGCTGAGTAGATTCCCCTTTGTCCAAGGAGGCATAACCTAAAACTTCTGGGTAGTAAAGTATTGTCTGGAAAGAGGATGCAGGGTGTGGCTCATCTGTATCCTAAAGTCACCACAGAACTTGCTGCAATAATACAGTGCTTAAGATACAGTAGGGAGGTATTTTGTGGAAGATCAACCAGCACACAACCTAGTTCGGGCATGCAGGCGAGTCATAAAAAAATTAACCTTTGTGTTTTGTTCCTGCTTTCATTGATCATGTTTTCAATGCAGGGTGTGTGGCAACTCTAACAGGAAACACTTCCTCTTGTCTAATATGCATTGAGGCAAACTGTTAGTGAGATTTATAAGTTATAGTGTTAGGAATGATTGCAAAGGAGCTATGTGTGCACATGCAAGAGAACCCACACAGAGAGTGGTTTCACAAATGTATGCTCACCACGTGGTGACTGGCATGTTTGAATGAGCCATCGCAGCTCTCATAACCCAGAGAGAGCTTTGGTGTTCTCCAGTGTTACTTAAAACACAGAGGCTTGGTTCATGCACATCGCTTTAAGTCATTGATTGATCAAGTGATGATGAAGTGTACATCATGGGATAGTTGTATTTTGGGAGAGGAGTGATAAGGACAAGAAAATATTTTCTGTTTTCACTTTGACCTACTTAGTTTCCTCAACCCATCTAATGCCCATTACTTAGATTATCATGGCCCCAAAGGGCTTTCTACTTCAGTGAATTTTTATATGTCTGCTGGAACCAACAGGATAGGATGGGGCATAAATAAATAATTTCCACTGAATGTTGTGCTGTTGTGGTGAAATATTTTCTGTAGGTAATGCATCTAACCTAGAATTGGAAGGCTTGGCTACAGTTTCTCAAACTGGATAAACCACTGATCGCTGCTTCAGTGTTTTAGGCTTTTCTGATGTATCTAGGTCATTACAAATGCAAATCTAAATGTGCTTTTATGCTTTTTTTAATCACATCAGGGTGCATTTAATATTGGGCACTTAAAATTAGAACACTTTCCTTAGCACATAAACCTTAAAGATGTTCTGGTCAGAAAGTCCAGGCAAGCCAAATGTGTTCACAGTTGAATGGCTCTGAATGGCTACTAGCCATGATGGCTATATGTTCCCTCCAGGTTTGGAACCACTTTGCTAGGGACAAACAACAGGAGAGATAGCTGTTGCCCACACCATGCTTTGGGGTTTCTCAGGGGCATCTGGTTAGCTACTGTAGGAAGCCAGGTGTCAGACTAGATCAGGCATAGGCAAACTCAGCCCTCCAGGTGTTTTGAGACTACAATTCCCATCATCCCTGACCCCTGGTCCTGTTAGCTAGGGATGATGGGAGGTGTAGTCCCAAAACATCTGGAGGGCCAAGTTTGCCTTTGGTTCAATGCAGCAGATGTCTTAAGTTTATGAAGCCTGTGTACTGAACATTGTGTTAGCTAGTAACAGGCAAGGTACTGGCGGGTGCAAAAGTAAATTTTGCAAACTATAAATTAGGCAAAGCAAGCAGATATGTAAAAGAAATTCTGCTATTTTCTGGTTTGTTAGGTATAGGGAAGGAAGGGCAAGAAGCAGTGCAGGGCACATATCCTGCCCCTTCTCACTGGAAATGTGTGTCAACAGCAAAATATTCAGTATTGAAATTTTCCAGCCTCCCCCACCCCCATCTTTTAGGTGTATCTTAGCAGTCATAAAATAGGCATTTTAAAATGATAGACATAATTCTGTGTAAATTGCACTTTGCTTTAACCAGTCAGACCTGCCCATGCAGTTTAAATTCTGCTCAGAAAATTCTCTGGTCCAAACTTCTATCATTGTGCAAAAAGCTTTAAGACCAAGGGAAAGGGTGGCTGTAATCATCAATATTGCCATCATCGAAAACCTTGAAACCGCAGCTCCCTGTCTTGTTTTACATTCACACTGAACTCCTTACGTACCTTAATTACTCGCTTTTCTTTGACTGATCTGTCTCTCCAACTGATTTCTTTCCCATCCTGTCTCCTCCCTTGTTTCTGCTGATTTTTGCATTCATGTTCCTCATGAATTTTCTGTAGAGGCATATCACTATACACGAAAGTTTATATTAACGTCAAAGAAACATTAACCAAGCAAGAAGGTAAATAGCAACACTTTCTAGCTACAAATCATTTCTGAGACACTCCTGGCATCTGTGCTGTATATACCTTGAGGACAGAGATGTTAAAATGAGGTGGCTGGGAAAAGCACTCCAAGTGTTGTCACTGAAGTGTTGCTGGATCTTTTCAAATCTGCAAGTTTTCCAAACAATCTTGAGGCTTTTTTTTAAATGCCCGCAAGGCTGGCCTTGACTTATAGTTCATGCATTGTACTGATACCTAGCATATCTCTGTTAAAGGAGTTGTAGAGTATTTCAATTTTTCAGTTCCTGGATCCTGTGCTTGGATATTGTGCACTTTAGGCTGTATTCAGGTTTCTAGTGTAGCCAAAATGTGAGGAAGCTGTCCAGGTGACCTGTTGTTTTAGGGGAAATGTTGACATGGCATTTGAGCAGGCATGTTTAAAAAAAATCTATGCTAAGCATTTAGAACATGCCAAGGCCTCATTTATGCATGAGATGGATCCCATAGGATTGCCTTGCATATTACATCCACAAATGTATTTATTTATTTATTTAGAACATTTATGCATCACTTTTTGGCTTGAGTCCTCAAAGCAACCAAGAACCTTTTAAAACACAACAGATACACCAAGAACTGACATGCTCAAGAACAAGTAGCTGCAGGTTGTGGTTTCTATGATTTTTTTTGTGGGTATACATGGAAGGGGAGACAGGAATAAGTCTGCAAATTTTCGTAGTCACTAGTACTACTACCTTTATTCTAGAGGCGAGTCTTGCTGTTAAGAGATCCTAGAGCTATGACTCAAATGAAGCTCCTCACTTTACATTAAAATGAGACAGAGAAGAAATAAATATTCACACGTCAATAAGATGTGCACAGAAAAGTTTCCCAGTTACTCTCTTAAAACTGTTCAGCTTTTAATACACTCTCAGTATACTGTACCATTGTTTATTAGTAGCAATGTTTAATTAAAGAGCTGAGAACTGCATTTAATTTAGCAGGGGTTTTTTGTTGTTGTTGCTAGCTTGTTTCAACATTTGTGACTTACTTATTTATCTAGCCTTAAGCTTTCTTTCTTTCTTTTTAATATTGCCCTTTTACTTCAGTGGAGAAGGCTCTAGTCTTGCTCAGCACATTCATGAGAAAATATAGATTTAGTATAAAACTAATATTGAGAACTATAGTGAGCTGTTTAGCTGTTTTCCAAAGAAACAAAAAACCCCATGTTCATCTTTAGGTGCCAAATGTGGAACCTTTCATTTCCCCAGTGGGATTTCATCTTCATTTTTTTTCTCCAGTATTGCGCTATGCTGGAAAGAGATGATAGTGAATTTTAAATAAGGCTTGCAACAAAAATTCCCATTTGAGAATTATTTAATAGATTCATTTTATGCACTGCCACAGTAGGTTTCTGCTGGGGCTAACAAGCATTGCTAGTGTCAGCTCAGCCTCAAGCAGACATTTGTCCATGTTACAAAGCTGCCATTCAAACAGATATTGTAGATTACCAATATGTATCCCCCTGTTTTCTACATATGAAATGTTCTGTGTTAAGTTCTTGTATGGAGGCCATTTAAAGCTTTACACTGCTTTAAATTTCACATGCTTAATTGACCTTTGGGACAGACCTCCATTCCTTTTTGTTGCTTCTTGACTCAATGGGATGTATACAGAAAGGAGATTACAGAAGCTATTTATAGTAGCATCATTTAAACGCAGCAGTAGGCTATTCACAAATGAAGAATGTTGTTCCTGAAATCTGTTGTCTCTCTGCTGCTGCCCCCCTATTCCTAAACTTACCTCTATTTTTATTCTCACCTCTTTATTCATTTGGAACCTTTGCCTCCAGTTCTTATCACCAGCATTCTTTTTTGGGCAAGGTGGTGAAGAGAGTGATGGCGGAGAATTTGAAGGAGTTCCCGGACGATACAAACTGTCTGGAGCAGTTTCAGTCTGTCTTCAGGCATTGTTTTGAGACTGAATCAGCCCTGATGGCCCTGATGGGTGACCTATGGTATATTGAGAGTAAGACAGGGAAACTGTGTCTCTGCTGCTGCTTCTCAGTCTGTCCGTGGCTTTTGAGGCTCAAGTAGTTTCCCAGGCTAGGAGTGCTTTTTTCGACCAAGGCTGGTGTGCCAACTTTGGCCTTTTTTGGACAGGGATAACGTAGCTGTGGTAATTTACGCACTGGCAATCTCAAGACTTGATTATTGCAATGTGTTGCGTGTTCAGACCCAGAGACCTCCCCCCTAAATAAATTCACAAATGACTCAAATTTTAGTTTTGGTTTTTGGCAGAATTTAGGCCACAACTTTATTGATTACAGAAAGTGAGTGGTTGCATAGGCTCTGGTTCGACTAGCTCCGCGCACTCTTGCAGGCAGCGCTGTCCCAGGGCACCAGCATAGGTCAGCCAAGGGTGAATACCTGGGAAGGTGAAAAGCCGGGAACAAACCCTGTTCACCACCCAGATGCCCCCCTGGACTCAGGTACAGGCACAACCGCTTCTCAGGGGTTGACCAAACCAGTTGAGTCCCTGGATTCCTTTAACGGAATACCCCTCACATAGGGATGGCTCGACCGTTCTCCCATCCCTATCACCTGAACCAGTGCCTGTCCGCAACCTTACAAGTTGTGATGATTTGCTACGCGGCAGGCGAAACCCAAATGGGAACAGCCAATCGGCCAAGTGGGGAAATTCCTATCGTGCCCCTGTCCCAATGGCAGATGACATATGACGGCATAGCAAGGTCAATCACACAAATCCCTAAAATTAGGGAGAGGTGGGCGGGTGTTCTGAATGCACGAGCCAAAAGAGGAAGCTCTGGGTCACGTGCATGGGTATAAATAGGTCCCTCAGTCCATTTGGACTGCGCCCCATTGGTCAGATTGAACCCAACATCGAGGGACCTACCAATTGGGTGTTGTGGCAAACCAATCCAACCCATCCACAACACAGGAGGTCAGTCTCCAGGTCTCACTGCAACACGTGCCCTCTTTTAGGGAGGACACAATCTCTGTGTGCAGCTATCCTTGGAAGAGCCAGCTGGTGCAAAATTCTGCAGCTAGACAGTCAATGGGGTGAGACTACCATATAACAGTGGTGCTTTAAAACTTGCGCTGGCTGCTCATGTGTAACTGGACCAGGTTCAAGGTTCTGGTATTAATTTTCAAGGCCATTGCTAATTTGCAACTTGGCTCCATGATTTCTTAGGGACCAGCTGATTCCCTATATCACTGTCCAGTCACTGCGATATTTCAGGGGAGTCTCTGCTGGTGATCCCCCATGGCTCAGACACATAGTTTGTAACTACTAGAAGCCATGCATTCAGTGTTACGGTCCAAGCTAGTGGAACTCTCTTCCAACTGAGATTGGAACTTCAGGCATGTGACCAAGACTTCCATATTTCAGCAGGCATTTTATGGTAGTGTTTAGTTTTGTTGTGAATTTTACTGTTCTTATTCATCATATCAGTTTGTTTTGTTTTTTTGGTACATTGCTTAGAAGTGTTGATGACTAAGTGATTTATCAATCAATAAAGAAATAAGTAAAATATAATTTTCTGCTATTCCATCTAACCTAGTTTATGAATGTATTTTAGCTTTTGTATAAGATAGGGAATTTATAATATTTGAATGTGAATTTGCAATCTTTTCTCTCGTTCCTACTGTTTCTGTAACTGTGTTATAATCAACAAAGACCATCTTCGCCACTACTTTGTCCTGAATTAGTGATGCAGCTGCTATAGCACAGAATTAACTATGTTTTACTAAATAAATTTGAAATGGGCAATTGGCCAGGATAACTCCTAATTCCCTTTTCTGATATGGCTTTGTTGCTCTATGGACCTTGCTGAGGTATGTTTTATGGAATGTGATGTGATAAGTGGAGTGTTTTATTAAAGCTGAATAGAGACTACAATTCTTTATATATTACTCGTATAAGATGTGTAAAATCTTACTGAGACACTCTCTGCTTGATGACTGCATTTTCAAGACTCCTGTGCAAGAAAGATAGCTGTTTTCCATGGAAACAGAGCTAGAGAAAGTGGAAAGGCTCTCAAGCTCCTTACTTGTTGAATTTCCCACAACTTTTCTATATACGTGGCCCTTCCTGCCTTCATAAAAGAGATTAGAACAACAGAATATTATAGCGAAAATCCCAGAGTATTAAAATTGACATTTTAAGACATAAGGGAAAGAGACTCTGTGCTGGCCAGTTGGTAATGGCTTTTTCCACCTGCCTTGCCCCACCCTCAAGCCCTCATAAGGAATCTCTTTCCAGAGGAAAAGCTATGAGGAGAGAGAGACTCTGTTTGCCATTAGACAGTGGTTAGCCCCACCTCCAGCCCAAGGAGCCTTCAGAAGGCAGTTGTTGCCACAGGCATTATGTGTATCAGCATTTTAACGAGCTGAATAGAGTGAAAGGTTATGGGGGTGTGGAGAGTGTGTCTGAACTTAACAATGCTTAGCTTATTTTTTGGTTGTTTTGTTAATGTTGTTAATACTCTTTTATTGATTATAAATCAATTTATTGATTTGTTAATCGTATAATATGACTTTTGCTTTAATTGTGATGTTTGTTGTTTAGTCGTTTAGTAATGTCCAATTCTTCGTGACCCCATGGACCAGAGCATGCCAAGCACTCCTATCTTCCACTGCCTCCCGCAGTTTGGTCAAACTCATTAGATGTTGTTTTTTAGCTGTAGATTTGTTAACCATTTTATAGATTGTAATTGTTTCACTGATAATTTGTTAATTATGCTATATAATCTATGCTCTGTTTGTGATGTTCTATTTTGTTCTATCATGTTATTGTTGTTTGTCGTTTGTAAGCCACTTTGGGAGCCATTTGAATGAAAAGCGGCATAGGAATATAATAAATAAATCAAATCAATCACTCAGTTAGGTATTATGGTTGGAGTGTTGGAGGTGGGATCCACATTTGGCTATACACTTATTATGTGACTTCAAACCAGCTATGATCTCTTTTACCTCACATACTTTTCAGGGTGGTGGTTGGGATATTGTCAGGTTTGGAAGTCATTGCTCGCGAGTAACCAGGCAGGACTCCGACCTGTCTTTTACAGGTTTTATTGGTGAAAAACTATTTACAGTGCAGAACCCCAAAGTTCATGTCTGTCTTAGTCACTTGCAGATGCCAGGAGTGGCCCCTTCCAGTTTCTCCCCCAACGTAAGAATTTAGACACCCCAAATCTCCACCTCCCCTCCTTATGTTTCACCCCTCTGCGCAAGCTGGGTGATGGAAACGGCATGTCTGTTTCCTGGCCAGCTGGGCTAGGCGAGCCTCCCCTCGCCTGGCTACCCCCATCCCTCTCTGCTCCACTGGAGGTGTGGCTTCCCTCACCGCTGGACGAGGAGCTGCTCCTCAGCAGCGTCGGAGGCTCTCTGTATTCACCTGCCCCCCTCCCCTGTTGTGATAGCAGTCCCCCTGACAGATATAGTGATGGAGATGGAGAAAGGGCAGAAAAGCATACATACCACCCTAGGCTCTTTGGAGAAAATGAGGGGTCAAAATATAATAAAACAATTACCTTCGAGATTTTACGTGCAACCATAAAGCTCACAAAAACCTACCTTTCCTAACTTTCGAGATTTTGATTCTAGTGAACGCTTTGCTCTTTCAAGAGGAGCTTTATTCATTTTATTCTTATGTGGTGAGTTAACTGACGAAGTATTTCAAAATGAACATGGATTGTTTTTATGGTGCATTTAATGGATTGCATTTTAGTTCACTACTTTGAGGGCTTTGGGGCCAAAATAAACTTCAGTGGCAATCAGAAACTTGCCTGTTCAAAGAGCGTTTTAAACCTTGCATTTTTGGTTAGCTGAGAACATCAATAAGAGCCCTCTGCGTCAGACCACAAGCCTACCTGGTCCAGCACCATTTCCCTCAGAGGCCTGCAACGCCACGGGAAGCCCAAGAGCAGAGCATGAGCTCAGTCGCATTCTCCTGCTCATGATCCTCAGCAGTTAGTAATCAGCAGTATGCCTACTCTCATCCTTGAGCTAATATACAGCTATCAATGACCAGCAGCTTGCTCACCTTTTCTAATGATGTTGTCATAGCTACTGTCATAGCTACATAAATACTGTTATATTTGTACCCTGACTTCCTGCCAAGAGTGACTTCCAGAATGGCTTTTATGTGCTCTTCAAAGCCATAGCAAAGATATTTGACTATTTATTCAATGTAGGTGCCTTTGTTGGTCGGGAAAAATAGTAGTGGATATATATGCCTGAATATCCTGGTTACAACCCTGCCTATACCTGCATAACTCAGGATTATCCAAAACAGTTTTTAAAAAAATAAATCTGTGCCAACTGCACTATGTCTTTTTCATCCCCCCCCCCCCACATTGCACCTTGTACTACATACAGGGAATTGATGGTACTACTGCTGTAGAGATGGCTGTAAGTGATAGGGTGCTGCAGTGGAGCAAATGGACCACTGTCAGACTGGCCCTCCTTTTAAGAAATATGACTGTGCTCGCTCCTAGCCAGAAATTCCAGTATGAGCAATGCCTTTCCATACCACACTTCCTATTTTGGGGTGCAAAATGCAAATAGCTCAGGCACTTGAATCAGTGTTAGTTGTCTCTGTTTGGAACATCCTGTTGGACTCTGCTTTCTGTATATAAGCTGTTGCATCTTATTATCTGCAAATAAGTCCTCAGACAGAAGACTATTCAGACGAATTAGTCTGACCTGGTATAAGGCAGTTTCGGAAAAAATGTATTTGATGGTGACTTGTTTTGCCAAGGGGTTTTTATCTGAGTGGGGTTTTGTTTGCTTGGAGCTTTTGATTTCAGAGAAATTGTGTCTCTGCCTTCAGGCAAAACGTGCCATGCCCTCTTAGGAGCATCTTTATTATATGACCTTGTGGCATGCCCTTGGGGCCCTTTAGGGAGTATTTTCCCCCTTAAACTGGCATCCCAGGGAGTACTGAGGTAAGCCCATTTAAATGGGTTTTGGGTTGCACCAGCATAATGCACCAGTACTAAAGCCAGCCTAAAATTCCCTTAAAGACTCATAGCTGTCACCACCTGCTGAATTAAAAGAACAGTGGGGCTCTTTAAGTATCTTCAGGGGAGAGAGCTGACTGCCAAGTGACCAATCTCTGTCCACCTCACTCCCCTATATAGGTAACACAGGCCTATTCAGAAGCTTGGCTGAGAACATCAGGAAAATAAAATGTGGTGAGATACCTTGATTTAGGGACACATTGGTTTGCTTTAACAGAATGAATAGATTTATTAATCAGAACACATTTATTTTGGAATTCTTTGCTTACTAGATTGTTTTTTTCTGGCTTTCCCATAAAGAGAATTTTTTTGTTATTGGTCTGCTTTTGCTGTTCACTTTGGGTAATTTTGGATAGGGCTGTTTTATTGAGAGATTCGTATATTGCCCTTCACCAAAAATGGTAACAGGGCAATTTGAAATAATAAGATATTATTAATAGTAAATGCAGCTGTTGTCTCTTTTTATTTTATCTATGTGTATTATTGTATTGTATTGTATTTTTATTGTTAGCTGCCTTGGAAGAGTATACTTCTGTCAGTGAAGGTCATAGATCATGGCTAGCAAATTTCATCAGATATCAGCCAACTATTATTGTATTCTTATGGAACAGAACAGTTTTCAGCAGGTATTGAAAAAACACTTCTGTTTGATAGTGCAATAGACTGATAGACTCCCTTAGAAGGTAGTGGACTCTCCTTCATTGGAGGTTGTAAAGCAGAGGTTGGATGGCCGTCTGTCATGGTTGAGTTAGTTGAGATTTCTGCATTGCAGGGAGTTGGAATAGACTGGATGATCCTCATGGTCCCTCCCAATTCTACAATCCTTTGATTTGTGAAAACTTGAAACAGAAGGCTCCTGTTGAATCTGTATTCCTCAAGACTGTGCTGATGACACAAAAGGCTTGAGGTTTTATTGCTATCAGATGAGCTTTGCCAACTCAGGGAGTGACCAAAGCTTCTGCAGATAATCAAACTATTGATTGACAAAGTGGCAAGTCTTACTTGAGGATACTAGGCAGGGTTGAAACAGAGCTTACTTCAATGGTCTGCATGTGATGGAATGCCGAGGTTTATTATTAGCTACAGCTTCTGGACAAGCACCAGTGCCAGTGGCATTTCAGCAGGGAGACAATTCTACAACACTGATACCACCAGTGAAAAAGCCCATTGGGCTGTGATCTTAATGCTCCTAGCGGACAGTGGAGGGGAAGAGATGGTCTTTCAGGTTGTTTAGTTCTGATGTGATTTAGTTGTACTAACTGTTGTTTAGTTCTGAAGCTGAGGGTGTTCATAGCTTTATTATTGTAATAGATTGTTGTGTGGTAACTGGCAAGCCACCTCCAAAGCCTGCTCTCAGGGAAAGAGGCAATGCTAAGAATATCCCAAGAAAACTGTTAGATGATCTTGCAGAATCTTTATGTATTCTGCACATGTTTGATAGAAATTGAACTTTAGCTTAAAGATTTATTGTGGTGATGAGTCAGCTGAATTGCTAAGATCTTCTAGTTATTGCAGAAATTTTTGCTATTTTAAAAGCTGATACCTTGTTACAAGTTCAGATTATCCTCTCCTACCATCTGATTACTCACCATTAACAATTCCAGTTATGGAGAGCTTTTTTGTCTCTTTGTTTGGATACTGTATCATGTTGAGATTGTTTTTTGGCGTTCTCATTAATCAGATTGAATCCCCTTAGAAACTTTATTATAGGACATGCTTCTCTAGGCTCAAGTGAGGCTAATGACTCCGGTCTGGAGCATTTTTCAACTTATTTACTTCAAATAAAGCAATTAATCTAGAATGGAATTCTTTTTGCCAACACCGTTCATAGATTGCAACAGCTCTTCTTTCATGGATGTGGAGGGGTTTTTAACTCGTTCTGGCCACTAACACGTGAAACATACCTTGTTAAATATTATGAAATGTATATATGCTGTTGCGTCATGAAAGATGCTAGCTGGTTGGTGCAGTCCTTGTCTTATTCGACATCATGTCACTGATGGAATAGAGTTCCGCTTGGCAGAAGCTACAGATTATAGCACTTATGGTGTAGATCAGGCATGTCCATTGTGTCAATCGCGACTGATCAGTTGATCGCAGGATGAACGTTCATAGATCACGGCCTTCCCTCTGCTGGAGATGCACCCAAGGGGCTGTTGCGACGCCACATGTGCACCCAGTCAGGGAAGCAACCAGCAAGTTCCTCTCACAGGAGGTGATGTTCTGCTGCTGTGTATGCCTGCCGTGTCAGGGGAAGCAACCGGCATCAGGGGAAGCAGGCGGAGTGCCCCCCTGCCCCCTCAGAAGAAGAAGCCAGCGTCGGAGGAAGCAGGCGTCGGGTGCTCAGCTACCCTGCCCCATCCCTGGGTGGTAGATCACTGCCAGTTTTTATATTGGATCATAGATCACAGCTGGACATGCCTGGTGTAGATGATTCCACTTTAGATTCTGTTTCTCCATCTCACATAGTTGTACAGCTTCTCCTGGGTTTTCAATGCACCTGTGCCACTACTTCCTAGGATGAAGGAAGCCAAAGCCCTCCATGAAATGTGTGCTCACTGCAAACTACTGTGTGCCTCCTTCTTGTGCCTATAAGTGCCTATGCACACAGTGGTTGTGTGGGGCAGGGGCTGTGTTTTCATGAAGCTGGAATTTTGTGATTCTTCTCTCATTCCAAATACAACGCTGATTGAATTAGGGACATAGGATGCTTCTTTATACTGAATCAGATTATTGGTCCATCTAGCTCAGTATTGTCTATGTTGACTCATAGCATCTCTCCAGGGTTTCAGGCAGTGAACCCACCCAGCTCTAGCTGGAGATGCTGCAGAGACCAATACAGGAGAAACATGTTTTGTTGCAGCTGGGGCAGATGAAGGCATCCACTTGTGCTGATGGAGGGGTACAATGGTGTGTCTTCTTTCTTCACTCCTCTCAGCAGTCATTCCTCCTCTGCTCACTGCTACGTTTCCTACACGGGAAGTGTAAGCATATGTGAAAACCTCACATATGGATATTTTAAGCTGCCTAGTTGCTCACCTGTACCTACTGTACTGTATGCACTGATCGGCAGCAGGTCTCCATGAACTTTGTGTGGTCCTTTCCCATCCCTGCTTAGTTCCTTTTTCCCAGGAGGTGCCAGGGAGCCTTCCATATAGACAGCATATACTCCGCCACTGTGTATATTCTCTTCCTTTTTCAATAGATCCAGGACTTTGTTTTAGCAGTCATCCCTGAACTGATGTACAGAATTATGAATTGGAAGCTTTTGTTAACCTGCATGCATGAAGATGATGATGATGATGATGAATGACACACAGCTTTTCTCGCATGTAGCAAATTTTTGTCTTGTGTGAAATGATGCTTACACAGGGGTTTTCTTTTTGATGAGTTTTCTTCTTCTTCTTCACTAAAAGTAGGGAGGGTTTAAAAGGCTGTGTGTACATATATTGCGGATAATTAATCAGTACTGTCAAAGTTGCAGTGAATGGTTTTAATAGACTTGGAGAAAGCTCCACCTAGTGGAATGCTGCCAAATCATATATTTTTTCCAATTTTTACCTGAAATCAGAAGCATTGCAATTATATGCAATGTTCAGAGATGATTTAGATGCTCCTTCCAACTCATGGTTGCTGCTGATAACTGCTTCCCTCTGTGGACAATCAAGATCATTATCCGGAATACTTAAATGCTTCTCTTACTTGTATTGGTATGCACACTTGGTACAATTGGATTACCAAAATTTGCTCACCCTCAGGGACTATATGACTAGAGGTTGAATATAAAGGCTGGTCCTTGCCTAAGATATAACATTAAGGTTGAGTGCAGGCTTCCCCAATTTTGTGTCCTCCAGATTTTTCAAACTATAATTGTATAATCCCTGACTATTTTCTATGCTTGCTGGGGCTAATGGAGGGTGGCTCAAAACAGTTTGAGTGAACAACATTGCCGATGGCTGCTAGTATTTACATAAGGTGGGGAAAGTGTACTACAAGTGTATTACTTCATCTGTGGTCCACAAATGGCTTAAGCTGTTTTTTGCTCATTTTAATGGAGCTAATCTGGTTTTAAGTAGGAACACGTGGTAGTTTGTACAATATGCTCATTTTCTGTTTCCCAATTATTGCAGGCACATATCTTTTCCTTGGGAGCTACACTAAAAGCAGCCCTCGAATATATCATGGAGCCTGGAACCGATTCAGAATTCAGTCAAGATCTGCATGCTTTGCTTGAACAAATGCAGGAAGAAAGTCCTAAAGAGAGACCAGATATTGAGGTAAAAAAAGAAGTGTGTGATTGGTTTTTTGCCTTGTTGTTGTTGTTGTTTAGTCGTTTAGTCGTGTCTGACTCTTCGTGACCCCATGGACCAGAGCACGAACTTTCATATCATATGGGAACTTTCATATCATATTGACTTTTCCTGATGTGTCACCTTTAACATTCAACATTTCTCCACTCTTAAGTGATATCTTAGTTACTCTTTTGGAAGGCAGTTGCTTGATGGGCAAAGCAATTATACTGTAAATACAGTGTTTAGGGGGGTGATACAGGGAAATGCACAGAATGATTTCCAACTCAAAGTAGCCCAACACAGCACTTGAAATAAAGTGGCAGCTAAGCTACAAAGTAGCAGCAGCAATACAAAAACAACAGATGCTCACCGTTCTACATACTGTAATGCTAGGCACAAGAGTTATTGATAACCTTCTGTGTTGGAAGCCATAAGTGGTGGTTCTTGTGGTTGTTTTAAATAAGGCTAAATGCTTTGGAAAGACACCCTCCCTTAATAGCACTCATGTGTTTAATATTATATGTAAAGTGGTACCTCAGGTTACGGACAGTCCTGCTTACGAACCCTTCAGATTACAAACTCCACAAACCCGGAAGTAGGTGTTCCGGGTTGCAAACTTTGCCCCAGGATACGAACGCAATCCACTTCTGGGGCCGTGGGAGGCCTATGTCGGGATTGCGTGCCTTGGGTCAAGAATGCTTCGGGTTAAGAATGGACTTCTGGAACGAATTAAGTTCATAACCTGAGGTACCACTGTATTCATATTCAGCAGAATTACCAAGAGAATGCAGATTTGTTTCCAGGAAAGGGAACGGGTAAGGACTCATGACCATTTCTTACACTAGCTGTTTCTTTTGACCAGTGACAATTTAGCATGGGCTAGACAGGATGTGCTAAAAACATGAATGGAGGTGTAAGTGAACATCAATGAAATAAGTATAAGGGACGTTTTCTCCTTGGAATTTTAGTGACTAACTACACATAGTGTTTGGATGACTACTGAAGTTTCCCAACTTGTATCAGAAAACAATACTGTAATAATAATGAAACAATGATAGTCACTTCAACAAAGTGATATTGTAGTTTGAGCTCTCTAATGTCTGTAAGGAAAAAAATCTCTCTTTGCTTGAGGGTGGCTTCCCATTTACCATTGAAACATGGCTCTGTGCTATTGAGTATGTACCTCTCTACATGTAAAACATTCCATGAATGATGGCTATGGAATTTATTATTAATTCAAGAAAAGTCTGAAGAACACAATTTTAACTAAAAACAATGAATTTCATAAATAGGCAAATCAGCCTAATTAAATATATTTAAAGTTGGTAAAGATTATTATAATTATAATTAATACTTTGTTGAACTATTAATTGAAATAATCCATTATAAAACATTTTAAAATGCTGCAGTTCAAATTAATCTCTGCTAAATCTTGTAGAAAGGCTACAGTTGGGAAATAATGTTCCCTTACAACACCTGAATGGCCTTGCTTCACAAATGCAAAATCTTGACGTTTCTTAGGGAATGCTAATCTCTCGTATCATGTTGAAGTCCATGTCCTGTATGATAACTAGGTATTAAACACTTTACTTTACAATTATCATTATAGACTGTCATATCATTGAGTAAAGAGAACCTGAAGCTTTCTTCCTCGAGTGATATTTGCCAATGCCTCTCTGCAATTGGAAGAAGAGTGCTTTCAATTGAATCATGTGGCACCTTTCACGGTATGCTTTTGATAATGTAGCCCATTTGTGTAATGGAATTAAGAGCATTTTTTCTTGCTAAAGATACAGAACCCAAGTGATTATAAATGGTGGGAGGAATTCAGGTCCCTTTCTACTGTATTAAGTAAAAAAAAAATTTTTCCCGTTGTTAACTTACAGTGAATTTTCATGCTCCTGTTATTTCATGTTTTCAGATATTTTTATGATAATCATATATCCTGTTATATATCCTGTTTTGCTAGCAAATACTTAGGATCAAGCACAACTGCTGCAAAAGTACAGTCCCGCACCCTCTAGCACTGTACTAATTTTGCATGTTAAGATTGTCAGACTAGCACATATGTGAATGGGACAGTTGGGTTGTGTGGCTATTTGCTGCCTATCATATAAACACCTTCTGTCATAGTGGAGGGGAAAGGTGGTTTGAAATGCCTTTGGGATCCTGCATTAAAAGCCATTTGTGGTTTGGTTCTCTCTAAAAAGCCAACCAACTTTTGATAGCAGTCTCTTTCTAACTGTAGGGCAGCATAAGGTGTTCATGGAATATTAGTGGAAGCTGCTTGTAATTTGGATGGGATGAGGAGATGGAGGGGGAGAAAACCGAAAATGTTTTTAATAAGAACATCTGTCTTTGCACCCAGACAGTTGTGATAACTTGTGGAGTGGAAAAGTCTATGAGAGGATTTCACCTTATGAACAGTGCACAGATTACAATTTAAGAGAGCATTCATCTCCAGAGGTGGAAGACTTGGAAGTTGCGAGTGGTGGAAATTCTTCTCACACGTATACCATGAATGACAGAAATGGTGATATAAAAGAAATTAAAACCAACTCAGTGCATGAAAATGTTTGCTGTCAGCATGTTTCAATTCAGGTCACAAACTGTAAAGAGAACAGCAATAACAACAACAGCAAGTGTGTGAATCTTGTCTTAGACACAAAGCCATGTACAAGTGAGTTGGAGGAAGATGCATTAAAAAGAAACTGCTCAAGGAAAGTAAAAGCATTTCCAAAGCTACCGTCTGAATCTGAGGCAGACCCAAGAACTTTCTTCCCCTTTGTAAGTCACAGTGGACCACTAACAAGGAAACAATATCCATTACAGCCCAAGTCATTATCTCAAGTCAATAATAATGGGACTGCTGCTTTAGAGGGAAACTTAAGTCATTGTGATGGAAATAATGAACTTGGGTTAAAAGCAGCAGATTTCCAGGAACCAAATAATAATTCAGATGAATTTTACAAGAGCCCGGAAGTATCTTATCAAATCCACAAGCCGACCTGCAATGATAAAAAAGCATATATTGTTCCATACACTCGTATGGGTTCTGAAACTTCAAACAACTATGAACCAGACAAATCAAATTCTGACTACAAGATACTAAAAAGCCATAAATCATGGGAATACTGTGGAGAAACTTCCTCAAGGTCAAATGAAAGCAGTCTGTTGCATATTAACAGGATGACTACGGGGCTTAGAACATTTAATGAAAATGGATGTAGCTCAAGCCTGCTAAGTTCTCCAGAACAAAATCAGAGTGAGATGAAAGACTATTATGTTGAAGAGAAACAATATGAAGGCAGGGAGTCAGAAATGAGAAACAGCAAGCAGGTAGTAGAAACAGAAACTTCTTTTTAAAAATTGTCTTAAATGTGGCATTGAAGGGACATAGTTAATTTTGGGGGATGGAGAGGGTTGTCTTCCTTGGAAACATCGTAACTCACTTACATTGTGCGTGCACTATAGTCAGCAGCAATTAGTTGAGCACTTTCATTATTACCAAAGGATTTAATTAGTAGGGATCTGAATTGAGGTGTGTGGTTGGTGAGCCTTTGATGTTTTGACATTTGTATGGTTAACTTTAATTGAATTGAACTAGTACTATAGATTTAAATTGCACTATACTTTTGTCAGAATAAATTAAAGGTAATTATCTGCAGATAGAAATCATCCTGAGTCACTCAATTTGCAGTCAGTTTTGTAAGAAATAAATTCTCTGGTTTCTTTTCTGCAGCTAAGTTAGTGTCGTGTGGCCTTGGCAAGCTACTTATGTAGTGCCTTACCATGCAGTTGAGCAATCTGCCCTCTCCTCCCTGCCACCACTGTGAATTATCCAAGAAACATTTATGAGAGTAATGCACCAATAGTGGTGAATGGCTCCATCTGTATGACTTGCTTTATAATGACAGCAGCAATGTGGAGGAATTTAAAGCAGTTTAAACATATATTTGCTATAGTGTCATTAATTTATGTGTGTATTATGACACGCTCTCTCTTCTTTGTCATAGCATACATTGAGATATTAAAAATTAGTAGATTCATAAGTAGGTTCAAAATTCTTTGCTGATTTTGGCTAATATATATGAATTAAATTAGTTTGACTCAATGTGAAGATATTTAGGTTAAATTCCCTATCTTAGAGATGGAGAAGATTGCTTTTCTAGCATATGTTCTCTCTCCCTCTCCCCCCCCCCCCCCCGTGTTTCACTTGCATGAGCTTGAGTAAGGTTTGGTACACAAGAGGTGTGATTCTTGGAAAACTTGAAAGTTGAGTGCTATGGTTAGCTTTCTTCTCTGCTGGTTAATTTTGCATAAGAAATTGTTCACCGCTAGGAAGAGTCAAATAAACAAAATCTAGAATTTCTAGTAGTATGGCTTTAAAAGCATTTGCAAACTTGTTTTATCTGGCCTCAAATGAAGGTGTGAGACATTAAAAGACTGCTGCATCGTGCCAAGAGACTACCAGGTTGCATATTACAACTTGGTATCAGCAATCTTTTGTAACATACAGGCGTCTCTGATTCTTGTCACTAATGCTTTCATTCTGAATAACTGAAATTATATCTATGCAAGGTTGTTGAGATGCAAGGATATTGAGATACAATAGTTTAGTGTATCATCATGAAAGAGGATGTTTTTGAAATTATATAGAGGTTTATTGGGAAAGGTGAAATATCAAGCAGTGCTATCCTGTTTTGTTTTAACTGAAATCTATTGCAATCCATGTTTAGCTTCCCTTTATTCTACAGTTTTGGTGCCATAAGGTACATAGGCATTACTTTCTGATTTCCCTCACCCACCACCAAATTACATATTACAACTAATTTTTCAAAGGCTTTGCAATACCAATGATCTTTTCCATTGTGGCATGCATTTCCAAGATTGGGGATTCCATTTCTCATAAGTTGCACAAGAATCATTTTGTAACTTTGATCACGCAGCTCCTTTTGCAGCTGACTTCAATTCATGCAGCTCCATGTGAGCTTTCCCCATTCTCCTCAATGCTGGAGGTGGTGTTTAAAATGTAGTGCTTGTGTGTGTGACATTTTCTTGACCTTAGAGAATATAGAAATCCCCCTTCTTGTGCAGACTTTGGTGTGCTCATTGGAGTCCAGTCCATTGGTTTTGGTGTTCTGTTTTGTCCCATAAATAATGCCTCTCTGCATTTCCTAAGTGGTTAGTATGCCTTCCTTTATGCTATAACCTTGCTTTCTTTATTCTCTGCCAAACATTGCCAAACCTGTTTGCCTGCTGGCTTCAAAACTGTATCTTTAGAATTCTTTTAAATGGCTTTTTCTTTGCAATTCTCAAATAAACACTTTTATCAATTCAAGCGTGACTGGAGCTCCTTTTTCCTCTAACCTACATAATTCCAGCCTTTATATCTCATCTCTTTTCATGCAGTTGCTAGAGTGTTTAGTGTGGGAAGCTACAGCTTGTGTGTGCATTCTTTCTATTGCTTTGTGCCAGTGGCCTTAAACCCTTTAAAGTGACAGAAGTGAAAACCAAGTAAAATTTGTGCATCACCTTAAACTACAGTTAAGCTAAACTGGTATAAAGGTGAAACAAAATAAAAAAATCCCTTCCAGTAGCACCTTAGCGACCAATAAGTTTGTTATTGGTATGAGCTTTCATACCAATAACAAACTTAATTGGTCTCTAACGTGCTACTGGAAGGAATTTTTTATTTTGTTTCGACTACGGCAGACCAACACGGCAACCTACCTGTAACTGGTATAAAGGTGAACTCATAGTGTGCTGATGCATGTTGTTGCTGAAATCATGGTTGCTTTGCTTCTCCCCCGCTACAAACACAACACTGGGAATTTGGTCACATTACACCATACAATTTGGACACTTTAGAGCACACATGGCTTCCCCTCCAAAACATCCTGGGAATTTAAATTTGTGAAGGGTGCTGCTGATTGTAGGTCTGCGATAGGTGAGCTACAGTTTCCCCTCCGAAAAATGACCATGTTCTAAATGTCCTGCATTCCAGATGTACTCATGGAAAGAGTAGCTGAAAAAATTACTCTGTGCTTTGGTCTTGCAGTAAAATTGTGTTTGATTTTTTTTAAAGAAAGGAACAAAGCAAATGTATTTTAAAGAAAAGCGACAATAATTGTTTCATTTAAAAAACAAACCCCTGAAATTCAGTGCTTGGTTTTGATTTATCCCTTTATAACAATTATGTTTTATGCAGCTCACCTATAAAGGGATGGTAGGCCTGAAGTGTTTTGACATCTGCTTTTAGTATTATAAGGATGCATAAAAGGCAGATAATTTTAACCTCAGTGGATCAGCAAAGACATGTTTATCCTGTGCTGCAATATGAGTTTGCAGTAACATGTAATTCATGTTCAGTAAACTTCTCAGTAACCCCTCTCTGACGTCTTACTGGAGAGTCAAATGCTGCTTTTTGTATAAAGAAAAGGGAATATTAATAATAGAGCAGGTCAGGGAAAAGGTAAGGCCTTCTGCTTGGCATGTTGGTTTTATAAATATAGGGGTTTTTTGCCATATGGCAGCAGTTAAAGCTAGAGCTCTTACAGTCTTGACATCTTAAGAATCCAGCAACAGAAAACACCATGCGAGATTGCTGACTTTGTAGTTTGGCTCTCGGTGCTATCAACCTGTTTCTGTGAAATATATAAGTAATACCAATCTTTTTGTTGGAGCAGTAAGTTAATATCCTGCTAACTTCGCTAGTGATGTTTCTTATATTCTGGGAATAAAAGGCTTGCCACAAAATACTTATCTTTCCATATCATTTTTGCTTGTTTCACAGGAGAGCTCTAAGTAGTGATGAAGCTTTTAAAGTAAGATGTACAAAGCACAGCTGCCAAGGTAGATCAAGTTTTAGAGCAGGCAGGTTAGAGATGACAGATATAGCTGAAGAGGTTCTGACATGTTGCAAAGAATAGACTGGAGTTTTATTAAGGACAAAAATAGCCTATTCTCCTCTTCTGTTGTCTTTTACAAAGTTTAATTTCAATTGAATCTTATTTCGAAAGTTGAGACCTTGAAATGCTGCTAGATTTGGAGAGGTTAAACAGGATACATTAGGTAGCATTTGCTAATCAATAGATGTCCCAATCGTTGTGCAAATGGTCAGACATTTCCCCTACTTTCCCTAAACACTCTAATAGTTGGAAAGCTCTACAGTGGAACCAGTTACATTTTTAAGTTTCTCCTGGTTCTTTTTATATATCTATTAATTTCATTTTTGTCTGGGGGGATGACTTCCCTTCGTATGTCAGTGGAAAAGGAATAAAACTATGATCTTGAATCAGTGAATTTGGCTTCAGAAATGCTTTTTGTCTCTTAACTGTCCTTAATATTTTGTTTTCAGTCTGTTTTTCTGAAACGTCTCTTAACACAGTATGACAAACCACTGAAAGACTATGAGCTCTGGGCTTTATGCCATGAATGCTTGCTTGCTATGGAAACCTATACAATTTATCCAGGTAGGTCTTCCTTAATCTCTTCTTTTTACACTAATATATTTTATTATCTTGACATTAAGGGCACATCTTTCTGCAAACAGGTCTCTGGGCCCTGGTGAGGAGAAGGTGGATTGGCATTTGGGAGGTACACATTGATCTGTGGTTTATAAATTATGGCCAGTGCTATGTGGCATGCCAAGAGGTGGGGGCAGCTGAGGAGAAGGCTATCTTCTGATGGTTGTGATACCACTGGGCAGTCAGGGAGCAACGGCTGTTGGAAAAACCCTGGTGCCTGCTTCTCATCCTTAAGAGTTTATTGAGACAGCCAGCTGGCTCATCATCTGTTGTAAGGATATATGCCCCAGTTTGTAGGGTATCCCATCCCACCTGAACTTGAGAAGCAGAAATATCCAAGTGGAAATTTGTTTCTACTCATGGGTCTCTTTGTTAGGGAGGAAGTCAAAATAGGCAGATTTTGTTCTACAAGGGAAGATGGGGCAAGTCAGTTTCTTGGAGAGCATCCATTATTTGGGAAAGGAAGTTTTTTTTAAAAAAAAACAAACTTCCTTCCATTTTTATGTCAGAATACAATGTCCTTGCTATAAATTAAGACTCTTTTTCATCTTTTGTGATACTGTGGGGCCCACAATGTTTAGATATACTTAATTGCTGCTATATTTTGTTTTGTTTTGTCTGAACAATCCCTGTAGCACAAATCTCTGAATGAGTCAAGTATAATTTATTTTAGAATATATACAGTCCCACAAATGAGTTTATGAAAGCAAGACTTTGTTATTTTTTCCAGCAGTTCTAATATTTATAATACCTGTTTTTCAGCATACTTGTGTTTAGACTCTGTCTTGATTAACAGTGATGGAAGTGTTCAGTTTGTTCCACCTGAAAGTGAAGGTAATTTAGCATGCTGCTAATTTTATGAATTTCTATTTATTTTTGTCACCAAGATTAAAATAGATTATTTTATTTTTTTAATACTTTAGGCTCATATGATATGTTTTATTTGGCTCCTGAGACAGAGGAAGAGGATTATGTTACTGAAAAGGTATGGTGACATGTTACAAATATGGCTGTTTCCTTTAAAAGTTAAATAGAAGGACCTCTTTAAAGAAAATAATGGGCACATTTTCTGGTTTACATAGATGCTTGTGGTACCAAGATAGCTCCATCTTATATTATATTTACACAGTAGTTTCCCATGGCACCTTAGAGTACTATCTTATGCTTTAAAAAAATTTTAGGCAAACCTTTTTGCTTAGCCAATACTTTAGTCACTAGAATATTTAATGCAACTAAAAAGGTATTTAAGAGTCTTCCCCTCCCCTTTTCTTAAGTATCAAAACAGACTTGACATTATTCACATAATTACTAATATTTTTTTAAAGTAATCAGTTGCTGCAAGGGCCTTACAATCTGGATTAGAATCTCTCTGTGTGTGTATGTGTGTGTAAGGGGCAGTTTAACTTTTTGATTCATTATGGTCCTAATTTGGATTGGGGATTGTTGCTGCTCCTGTTTTACTCTTTCAAAAAAATATTAATTATTATAATGCCACACCTGCTTTCTAGCTTCTAGTTCAAGCAGTACAGGTTTGGCTGTGACATTAGACTTCATTTATTGTAGCTTGAGGCAAACTCAAAACTGAAAGTGAAAGTTGTGGCACTGTACTCGAGATCTGTAAACAATAGTGCAAAGTAAAGTTTTTATATTTTAAAAACATTTCAAATTAACATCATTTTGTGGATGTTTTGAAAAAAATGCCAAGTGGTAGCACAATATGTTGTTCTGGTTAATTTTAGAGTAATTGCGTTTGGAGAATACAAAGACCAAACTAGGCTTAAAGTTTGTTATGTAGTGTGGTATTTCTCAATTCATTTTTGTTAATAGTCAGCATCTAGCACAGGGGTCAGCAAACTTTTTCAGCAGGGGGCCCGTCCACTGTCCCTTGTGGGGAGCCAGACTATATTTTTTTGGTGTGGAAATGAATGAATTCCTATGCCCCACAAATAACCCAGAGATGCATTGTACTCATGTAAAAACATGCTAATTCCCGGACTGTCTGCGGGCCAGATTGAGAAGGCGATTGGGCCAGATCCGGCCCCCGGGCCTTAGTTTGCCTACCCATGGTCTAGCCAGAGGAGCTGCACTGAGACCATGGCATGGGTGGTGATGGTGGGGTTTTTTAGAGCTTGTTGTCGCTCTAATGGGAATCAGACCTCCATTGCCAATAGCTGACTTGAGGGTGCCTGAAACCAAAGTGGCGCAATGGGTTAATTTCCCTCCCCTTACACTATGGTTCTGATTTGGGTCCCTTGCCCCCAGTGCCTGCTATTTGTTTAATCAAGGCTCTGCGGCCACGAACTATGTGACAAAATGTGAAGTTTAGTTTGGCCCCAAGAGCATGGGCGAAATTGACTTCTTCTGTTTTGCTATCTTAATGGCAGTTAATAATTAATGGAACATTTTCCTGTGCTGATCAGATGTTTTGTGTGCAATATATATGCATTTGTTGCACATACGCTTCTCATCTCAAGCTAGCGCTTTGAGTACAATATCTCCTACACCCAAATATGAAATATTGTATACAGTGGTAGCTCAGGTTACATACACTTCAGGTTACATATGCTTCAGATTACAGACTCTGTTAAGAACTTTACCTCAGGATGAGAACAGAAATCACACGCTGGTGGCATGGCAGCAGCAGGAGGCCCCATTTGCTAAAGTGGTGCTTCAGGTTAAGAACGGTTTCAGGTTAAGAACGGACCTCCGGAACAAATTAAGTTCTTAACCAGAGGTACCACTCTATATTGGAAAACAATGTATGGCACATTGACAGGGAGCATTCATTGCTGCTGTAGATTGCTGTCTGCATTATCATTGTGTGAACATCGCAATGAGAAAGCTTCCCTTTTCTTTTCCCGCTTCCCTTTTCTTTTCCTTCTCCCCATATCCAGCTATGCTATTTTACAAACCTTTTCCTATTTAATTTTGTAAGCTTTAATTCTTTTTGGAGGCTTTGTGTTATTCTGCTATGTTATGTCTGTTCTACACAGCACATCTAGTCAGATTTTAGATACCTCCAAAGTCTTGAACTGCAACAGTGCTTTCTCCCTCCAGGTTGCTTTGTGTTACTTTCAGAACTGACGATTCAGTGGTACTAAGTCAGTGGTGACCAACGTGTGCTTGTGGCATGCTTTCGGTGACCATGAAGGAAGGTGCATAGTTATACTATGCTGTGCCCTGACCTCAGGTATGCCTGGGGTTTGCTCAGTTGCCTGTGCTGATGCCGGCAGGAATGTCAGCGCAGCCATTTGTAGATTGTGCTTTTAGTGAATACCCATCCTTGCGCTGGAGACCTGAAATTGGCTGCTTTAAGTATATGTATTTAAGAGCAGGGTTCAATCTGAGTGGGAGTCGTCCAGTGACTTCGTTGCCTATTCACTGTGCCATTTCCAACAGGTCTGTATTTACTGTATTGCTGCAATTTTGTGGAGAGCTGCAAAACATAATTTCCCACCTGATCACAAAATAGTGTTGCCAAGGAAACTGAAGAATTTTCTTCTGGATATGGCTAGACGAAAGTCAGAAGACAGGCCTTCTCTGGCAGATGCAATTAAGGTGATTTAAATTAAGCAATTTCCTTTTTTTCCAAAAATTGTAAAAATGTATTTTATTCCTGCAAATAATTCTGGTACTGAAGATAAATTTCTTTTTTCTTTTTTTTTTTGGTAACAACTCTAAATTAAGGAGTTGATAACTGTACTCGATTTCATTCCTTAGTGGCTCCATTGAGAACCAAGGTGTGGCGTTTTGTTGTTGTTTAAAAACAATATTGAAATATAGCAACTTCAGATTAGTTGTGATAAAATAATACTCCTAAATTTAAAATTATTTGCAAAATTATTTCTAATTTTTGCACCTATCATCTGTCTAATACTAAACACTTCAAAATGCTGTTTTCTAGACATGTGATAGCTATCTTCTTGAACAAAGAATAAGCAGCAAGAAGGTTCTGGCATGTTTAACCAGATCTGCCTTTCAGGTATGAGTGTTTACCTTCATGTGTTCAGAAATAAATAAATAAATGAGAATTCCCATTAAGCTTCTTAGAACTAGATTTGGCTCCATGAAACTCTTCTGCCACCTCCCATTTCTGCAATGCCTTGGTTAAATAGAATTAACATAACAGATCAATTTAATTAAGATTTCTTTTTAACTCCATATGTAAACGTGTAAACCTTCTCTCATGTTTATGTAAACTGCTCCTGAATCCTAACAACCACATCTACAGTAACAATACTCCATAGAAGCACTAGCGTTGGCTGTTCAAAAACCATTAAAGATGTACCATATCTTGAATATCTTGGAGCACATCTCCTCCATTGTCCATGGAACTCTTGCTTAATTAAAGACAAGTTAAGATTTCTGTCAGCATTGTACATTTTGCTGCAATATCTGGAGCTGCTTTGCATGTGTTACAGAATCCTGCCTGCTTTATATACTGGGAGTAGCTCTTCTGCAAACTGGCCTACCTCCCAATTGGAAAAGTTTCATCAGCTAGTAATTTTCAAACCAGTGCTGTTGGGGCATGACTTGGTGGCAGATGTCCAATTAGAAATCTTTATGTTGGCTGTCCCTCCACTATTATTTCCACTGCTCCCACATCAACATGGAATGCTGTCATATTTTAACATTTTCTCTGTTTTGTGTTGTGTTTCTATACAAAGAATAGAATCTAATCAAAACAAACACAACTCTGTATATAATGAATGTATAATATGCACTGAATCTCCCAATGCAATTGGTACTGTGACTAAAAATAATATAATATTATAATAATACCAATACAGAATTGTGTTTGTTTTGATGTGTTTCTAAAGCAAGCCTGGATGAGAATAGCTTATGTCCTCTGAGTAGCTCTTGCGCTGCATTCCTTCAAAGCTCTTTCTACTGTCTAGTCTTTCCTGGCCTTGTATTGTGCTGGAATCTATACTGTACTTTTTGGAAGCTGACAGTTTCAAACTGTATGAGGTCAGCATTGGCTTCTAGTGTTCAAGCTCCATTAATTAAAAACCCAGGAGCCACATAACGCTATGCTTGGCTCAAATAAGGGTATTTTTTAGAGCAGAAAGAGAGTTTGGTATACCAGGCTAGTAGCTCTCCTGATTAAAGTTCTACAAAAATGGCAAGAATGTGTGGGAAAGAGGTGCCTGGAAAGACAGCACCCTCCCTTTTTGCTTTTCTTGCTTGTTGCTATGGCAGCAGAATTGGAGCATGCTGGAATATGACCAAGAGATGCTTAGCCTTTTATATGATAAGTACCCTCAGTGGTTTTAGGGTAGCCTTGGACTTTGACAACGGCCATTTTGTCTGCAAGTTGACTCAAATGACCAAGAAGTGTGCTAGTGACCTACAATTGCTTATTCGACTTCTCCCCAACCTCCCAGTGCATTTGGGAAATTAAATGCCACATTCCACACGTCCTTTTATTTCTGGTGCATTTGTTTTTGGGAGTGGGGGGATTCAAAGCTGGTGATGCATTCCTTCCAGGGAATATGTGCAGAAAATGTAGCTATTATTAATCCAGAGCAAGTTTCAACAATATTTCACAATAGGAAGGAACAATTATGGCTGGTCTAGAAATATAAATGACATTGGGCTCAAGGACTTCACTCTATGCTTTTATTCTTTTGGCTCCTTTGAAATTGGAAGTATTAAGTGTGTTGAGCCCTCAGGAAAGAGCAGAAGAAAGCTTGAGCAAATAAATGTTTGTCTTTATCACTGTGTGCTTTAAAAGACAATTTATAATGCATTTGTGTTTTTTGTTTTTTTACTCTTTGGCTGTTAGGCTTTCAAAGAAGCGGATTCTTTTAATGATAGCATGCCTTTTGATTTACAAAGTGAGAGTTCAGTGGATGAAAACTTAGGTGAGTACACCTGTAGGCATTCCTGCATTTTTATTTTGGGAAGACGCCATTAGGTAATGTGTCCAGTCATGTTGGAAATATTTTTCTTATGTAAGCAATTGTACATCCTGCCGTTACGCTAAATGCATACTTTTGTCTTTGTCTTCACCTTGTTGCATATTCAGGATTTTTACCTATGAGCAATGAAAGCAAACTGATAGCAGTGAAAGGACCAGTCCCCTGCCAGCCTTCTTTGAACAGAGAAAGTACCATATTGCCAAGTGCTTTCACTTCTACAGCAACCCATTTCAAGCCTATTATTCTACATCAAAACATTGATATTAAAAAGTAAGTGTGTTGGTGTAATGTCCAGAAAGTAATATGCTGTATTTGATGCGATGCAAAATGAGATTTTAGTATTGTTTTAATATTCTTCCTTCTTTTTGACTGAGATTAAGCCATTTTGGCTTGGTTTGGTGTTCTGAACTTCATTTTTCAGCAAGGCGCCATGTAGATTTCCTGCTCTTTCTAGTATAGTAAGAGCATAAGGATTTCTAGATCAGACCAAGAATCATCCAGATTGCCCACGGAGGCAAGTCAGATGTCCATCCTTGGCATTTGCAATAGCTATGGTACCGTCATATGGAATTTCCATTTTGCTAACGTGTGTTTGAGGCTATACTTAGTCAGAAGAGGAACTTCATTTCATTTTAATGCCATAAATTGAAACAGTGCCTTATTTATAAGAAAAATACCACACCAGTAGTTTTGACATCAGATGCAAAGCGCAGGAAAATTAGGGTGCTAGACCTTTAAATATCCCAGTATTAAATGCTCACAATGTGATCCCCATGCTTCTACGCCCTCTCAGTGAAAAGACCACAAACTTAAGTAAGTTTAAATATTTTACTTACAGCAATCATAGGTCACTCATGCATCAGTTCAGTGCTGCAGCAGAAACAACAAAGGTAAAAACTTACTGAGTACAAAAATACAAAATATGGTTTTCAAAATAGGTTTCTGGAGCTTGGGAGTTCCAGCCTCATGCCTCTGGTCAGTTACATGGCTCAAGCAGGAGGGGTGTGGAAACAGGAAACAACCCTTATTCCTCCCTCCCTGAAGATGAGGGAGCATGACCTAGCTGAGTCTTCTCTAGCAATTTACAGTATTGTGGTCCTTAACCACTCCATTTACTAACTAGCATAGACATGCCTTGTTAGGTTTGACTGCAAGATCTCCCACAGGTATAATTTTAAGAATTATTTGCAGTAGAATTATTACTTCCCCCCTTCCCCCAGTACTCTTATAGTGGGCCATTCCTACTACAAAAGAAAAACCTCCTTTCATTGTTTTGGCTGTTTCTAACTCTTCAGACTCAAACACTGATTTTTATTTTGCTTAATGTATGAGAAGTAATGTACCTTGTTGATATCACCTTGAAACAATTTTCTCTTACACCCGTATTAAAAAGGAAAGTAGCATTTCATCTTAACTGCCATGCCTAATAGCTATTGATGCACCTATTAAGAGTCATTGAGGCTGGTATCCATCATTACATTTTGGTAATTAATTGTAAGATTATTCATTCTGTGTGAGAGAAAAATATTTTATATGTTCTAAACCTACTACCAATAAAATTAATTGAATTAGCTTGATTGTTATATTGGGAGAGAAACATTGCTCCATGCAAGTTAAATTCTACAAACCTCTATTATGTCTTTTCTTAGCCTAGCGTATATAGGGCAAATAACAACAAAGATGAAACAGGAACTAGGGAGGGGATTCAGAGTAGATACATTCAGAGTTGTCACTGAAACACAGAAACAGTTAGTGGTACCTCTGGTTGCAAACGGGATCCGTTCTGGAGGCCTGTTCGCAATATGAAAAGAATGCAACCCGCAGCGGCATGCCTGCGCACACGCGGGTTGCGATTCGCCACTTCTGCGCATGCGCATGACGTCATTTTGCACTTATGCGCATGTGCGAGCGGCAAAACCCGGAAGTAACCCTTTCCGGTACTTCCGGGTCGCCGCGGGACGTAACCTGAAAGAAAGTAACATGAAGTGGACATAACATGAGGTATGACTGTATTAAGAAGACTTCGGTGTGTACAGCAGATTGTGGATGGGTCAATGTGATGTGTCAAATTCCTGCAACTGTTTTGCATAAAATATCTTGTTTTTCAGAGGTACTGCTGCATCCTCAGTGATACAATGTGGAATGACTATGGAAAGTGGTGTGCCTGTGGATTTTAAAAATTCAATACGTTTAAATATTGATTCTGAAAGCAAGATGGATGAGGACTCTGATTTGCCAGCAGTCTGCGTTACTACATCTGGTATTCTGGAGCAGGATAAACAAGGATTGGAAGCATCACTTCCGACTGGCGCAGAGGAGCCAAAAACAAACAGTGCTAGCTCAGGCATGGCAAAATTACCCTTATTCTCTGAAGCCTCATGTCCTTCTCAAGGGAAGTGTCCTTCCTCAAGTGATCCTAACTGCACTGTGTCTTCCAGTATGGCTTTTATAAACAATTTCCTTTTGAAGCAGGACCCAGTAACAAGGGTGTTAACCCTCGTACCAGTCCAGATTGCTATATCAGAGCAAATACCGAATAAGCCTCTTCATTCAAAAACAGCTTACAGTTGTTGTCCCAGTTTACACGTCCTCCTTTCGGATTCTATAGTGAACTATGATGTTGACAAAGCGTTGCAAAGCGCTTCACCCACGAACCATCTGAGGAATTGCAAGACTAGTAACACACGGCATGAATGTCTGGACATGAAGATTAATAGTTTACCCCCAACTACAGTTAATAAAGAGCCTCAAACCAGGTATCCTGAAAAGAATCTGTCCCTAACGTTTTGTGAGGAATGCAACACAGATGCAAGGAATAATGACCCTTTATCAAATCACTCGTCGCTTGCCTCTGGGGAATCAAGTCCTCCTTGTTCACTGAACCTGGAAACCTCTCTCCATAATATTGGGATAAACGAAAATTGCTTGAAGAAAGTGGTGCATCTTATCCAAGAAGAATTTGCATCTGGTAGTCATCTGATGAATACAGTTGAAGCTCTGGCCATAGGTAGGCATTTAATACTTGGAATCACATCATAGATGCAAATATATATTCTAGACCATGCTCAAATAGAGATTCTGGTGGCTTTGTGCAAGGCATGGTCTTGATGGTTATTTTTAATTAAAGTTGGCATGTGCAGATCCCAAGAGTTCTCCTGTGCCATTGAAAGTAGTTTTTGTTTTTAACATGACCTGAATAGTTCCAGTGGTTCTGATTTCTTCCTTCATCGGATTTCATCTGTGTAAAGGGGAAAGCCTATTCTAGATAAGAATGTCTGTTTTTGAAGCTCTTGTTTTATTTATATACATTTGTATCCTGCCCTTCCTTCAAGGAACTTAAGATGATGATGATGATGATATTTATACCCTGCCCATCTGACTGGGTTTCCCCAGCCACTCTGGGCAGCTTCCAACAAAAGATTAAAAATAAATTAAAACAGCAGTCATTAAAACCTTCAGATGTCTTCTAAACATCAGATAGTTGTTTGATGGGAGGGCATTCCACAGGGTGGGCGCCACTACTGAGAAGGCCCTCTGCCTGGTTCCCTGTAACTTCGCTTCTTGCAGTGAGGCAACTGCCAGAAGGCCCTCGGAGCTGGACCTCAGTGGAGACACTCCTTCAGGTATACTGATGGGGGTGGAGACGCTCCTTCAGGTATACTGGGCCGAGGCCGTTTAGGGCTTTAAAGGTCAGCACCAACACTTTGAATTTTGCTCAGAAACATACTGGGAGCCAATGTAGGTCTTTCAATACAGGTGTTATGTGATTTTATCATCCCAACAACCTTGTAAGGTAGGTTAGGCTGAGACATGGTAAGCGGTCCCAGGGTCACTTACCATGAGATGGGTCTTTGAGCTTGTTCCCTCCTTAAAATATGTTCACAAAATGTTACAGGCATGCAGGAGAGAATAGGTCACATAATCAGTAATGTAGCCAGTCGGTTGCTGCAATAATTGGTGCAGCCATTCATATATGATACTTCACACTGCAATAGGCATACTAATTTGGGTGAACTATATTTTCCCAGTGACAGATTGTTTACTTAGCCCTATACCTTAATTAGTTGGGGTATTGTTCCCCCATATTTCATTTTAAATCAAAATTCAAGTGCTCTGGACATTCCCTTGATCAAAGGAACAATAACATGTTATTTATTCAATTTCTTATCTTCTCTTCGCCATGAGTCCTAGGGTGGTTTGCAACCATTTAAAAATACAATATTAAAAACAGTTAAAACTTGCCCAACAAAGCTCCACAAAACATTGATAACCACATAAGAGATTTGCTATCTTCCCCTTCCCGATTTAATTCACATTTTTTAAAATGTCTTGAACCAGGTAAATATATTTACAGCTTAAAGGATCTCAAATATAAAACTTTCTGTAATGCAATCTCTGAAAAATTTTGCGACCTTCTCTGGGAAGAAAAACTACTAGCAAAACTGTATGATGCAGCTAATGGTAAAACTGTTATATTTGCAAGGTAAGTGACTCTTCTGCTATCTTTCAGAATATGTGTTGGCGTTTGTTCTCTGGCGTGAGTTCTGAATGAGGCACTGGAACTCTCTAGAACTTCTTCATTGATCTAATGGTTGAGGAAACTGAGTATGTTTAGCCTGGGACAGAGGAAACTGAGAGGAGATGTCACAAGGAGGATGGACCAAGCTTGGTTTCTCCTGCTCTGAAGGGTAGGACTCGAACCAACGGACTGAAGTTTCAAGAAAGGCGATTCCAATTAATCAAGAAGAACTTTCTGTCTGACAGTGGAACAGACTGCTTCAGGGGGTGGTGGGTGGGCTCTCCTTTCTTGGAGGTTTTTAAACAAATGTTGGCTGGCCATCTGTCATGGATGATGTAGTTGACATTCCTACATTTCAGGGGGTTGGAACTAGATGACTCTCGCAGCGCCTTTCAACTCTACAGTTCTGTGATTCTATGAACTTCCTTGCCTTTTGACATTGACTCCTAAACTCCCATTCCTGGGTTGGATCATGATGTTTCATCTAATTATTAAGTCAGAGAAACTTAACCAAGTGGGAAATGCATTTTTAAAAAGGAAAGGATTTTAGCATTTAAGAATTATGCAGGAGCTTGAATTGGCTGGTATATCTGTATGGACATAAACATGACTGTGCTGATGTAAAAATGAATAAACCCATGAGAGGCTATAAACCACTCAGAAGTTGTGACTGCAAGCTGCCGTGCAATCAAGATGGAATCCCTCGTTCACACTATGCAGTTTGTTCTCTAGAGCCTGGTTATAGTGTATCTAACTTTAAAAATTCATTAAGAGTATAATGAAGATATTTGGCTTCTTAATTTTGGTGTTGAGTGCAAAAAGAAAAAGAAGACGACTCAAAACATATGGTTGGCATTTCATAACATTTTATATCATGAATGCTTCTAGTTTTGCTTAATGTTTCTCATGACTAATGTGATACATAGGAGACTTTAATGAAGACCGATAATATACTGGTGTCTATTCCCTGTTGGCAATGTTTCGGAAAATGGCTTTTTGTATAAAAGAGAGAAATGTGTGTGTGTTGGGGTGGTGTTAATACAGTTTCTAAAAGAAGTATTTTCACTTTTTTATCAGGTATTACTGTGTTCAGAACATCTTTTATAGACATAACTGAAAATGTGTTGTGGATTGACTATTGAGGAGAAAGCTAGGAATGTCTCTGGAATTTATATTGCATGCTGCTTTGGGCGAAAGAAAGAACAACAGAGGAAATTTCACAACTACTGTACCTTGTCCAATGCCATTGCATACTAGTGGAGTGGTTTTCAAACCTTCTGTTTTAGGGAAACTCTGCACATTGACATGTCTGCCAGACTTTTGTTTAATTTTTGTTTTTATCATTATGGTACATTGCAGAAGACTCTGCGGCCTGGTCCAAAACACTTCACGTGGAGAGCTAGTTTAGGTCTCCTAGGTCTTGTTTCCTTTACTTTTGTTCTGTGCTGCATAACAAGAAAAGCTGAATGAAATTGTTTTTGAAGTTTCAGGCACATTGAACCTCATATTTGAGCTTTTCTCCCTAACAAATCTTTCCTGCATGTCTCTGTGTAATCAACTATCTCACCACCCCGTCTCTATATTTACAGCATGAATGAAACAAAATACTGTGGCAACACATTTCAGAGCCAAAATAAACCTAAGAATCTTGGGGACGCCAGTGAAGAAACAAATGGTAAGGAAAGACCACAGCTTGTGATGATGATAATGAGACCAGAAAGTGTTAGAAGATATTAATTCAGTCGCTGAAGATATTAATTCAATTGCCAGTGGGATAGCCATGTTGGCTCCTTGCAGCAAAAAGCAATGAAGCATCTTGTGGCATGTTAAAGACTAACAAATGTATTATGGCATAAGCTTCGGTGGATTACACTCCACTCCATCAGATCCATACGTACCCCGAATTACAAGTATACATATACACATGGATGGCAGGGGGTGGGAAATTGTAAATAGTGAGGTCAGAGGGAAATGATATACAGAAAAGTGCAGAGCGGTAATTGCCTAATTCACAGTGATAATTCACAAAACTGTTGTTGATATCACATATTGTTGAACCAATTAACATATATAATATGCTAAAAAGAGTTTGTATAGGTTCAGTTCACAAATGACCACATTTGAACCTCTTGATGTATTCTAATTAAGCAGTTTTATGTTGCAGACTTTCTTTGAAGTTGTTTTGTTCCAAGATGCTCACTTTCAGAGTGTCCATGGTGGTTAAAATGCTGCCTGCTCCATCCAGCTTTTTAATGTTGTGGTCTATGATGTCAGATTTATGTGCATTTATTTTTTACATAGAGACTGACCTGTTTGTCTTATATAGAAAGGCAATGTTGACAGATGATGGCACAGATCAAATTGGAAGGTGCACAGGAGAATTAACTCTTTCTAATAGCTGTCCCTTCCACTCATAGGGTGTCGGTGTTGGGGACCCTATCTGTAGCAAAGCATTTATGTGTTTTCCACAAGGACAGGGTCATCCCCTCCTTTCTACCCAAAGTATTGTTGAGATTCCATGTTCAGCAAGAGTTTTGTCCCATCCCTGCTCACCCATTGGAAAAGACCTGGGACGCATTAGATGTGAGGTGTGCACCCAAGGATACCTCACATCCAAGGAGAGCCAGTGTGGTGTAGTGGTTAAGAGCGGTAGTCTCGTAATCTGGGGAACCGGGTTCGCGTTTCCGCTCCTCCACATGCAGCTGCTGGGTGACCTTCGGCTAGTCACACTTCTTTGAAGTCTCTCAGCCCCACTCACCTCACAGAGTGTTTGTTGTGGGGGAGGAAGGGAAGGAGAATGTTAGCCGCTTTGAGACTCCTTAAAGGGAGTGAAAAGCGGGATATAAAATCCAAACTACTACTCTTCTTCTTCTTCTTCTTCTTCTTCTTCTTCTTCTTCTTCTAGGACTAAAGTGTGTAGACTAACGTGTAGGATTCCTTATTTATTTCCTTTCACCTCACTTCCTTGGGCAAAATGGTTAGCTCCTCCACCTTATATAGGTGGCTTAAAGCTTGTATTGTGGTGGAATATGGAGCTTTGAAGCTTCTCCAACCATCTTCTATTACAGCTCATCCTACTAGAGTGGCAGCCACTTTGGCAGCTTTCTTTGCTAACACCCCTTTGATTGATATCTGTTGGGCAGCCAGTTGGCTGTCCCTAGCTACATTCACAAGGGGAAGTCATAAGATGGAGCTTATGCCTCAGCAGAGGCTGCTTTTGGCTGTATGGTCTTGCACCAAGTCCTTCTGCCTTACTACTTTCCATTGCAGCTGGGATCCACCCTAATTAGGTTTGCTGTGTGGTACATCCCAACCCAATAATTCAGCAACACCAACACCCTCCTGAAATAGTACAGTTGGTACTTACCTGAACAGTAGATTTAGGAGGGTTCACTGGGCTATTAGGACTTCATCCTAGTGGGGACTGCAATGGTCTATACGTTTGTGTTGGACTGTTCACAAGTCCCCCACACCACCCTTACTGGGACACGAGTTTTCTGTTATTTTACTTACCCTTATTGTGTTGACTCCATTGACTGTCGATCTTGGAGGGTCTGTAAAACTGATCGGCAGCTAATCACTTCCTGGAAGAGTTTTCTTTTCCTGCTTCATCATCAAGGCATATCCTAAGACCAACCTGATAGCCCAATGACTCCTCCGAAATCTACCATCCAGATTAGTACCAACTGTACTTTCTTAATGAGAGCTAAAAATAGGGGACTGTAGAAGAATGGTATTGGAAAGTTGCGTCTCGCCTTCTTTTATAGTCCCAATTTGTTGATAGTGATGACGGCAGCTCCTTTGTCAGCATCTTTAATTATGATGTCAGTATTGTTTCTGAGGCTGTGGATGACACCACACCCTGCATGGGAGAGGTTGTGTGGTAAATCATGCTCTTAGCTGATTACCTCAATTTGGGCACAGTGACAGAAGTACTCCATATAAAAACCTAACTGTGCGTGAGGTTGTGGGGTCTATGCAGAATTCTTTTCTGTGCTATTTTTGGGTACACTGTCCAGTTGTGTTCAGGGAAGATAGTAGTTGAGTGCTCGTGCACTGGGCAGTGCCATGGCAGAAATGTTCCTTGAGTCATAACAGTAGGATTCCCACCCCAGATCCCACCTCAGTTTGCATTTTCCAAATGTTCATAGTTTCTACTTTTGGTTCAAAATGCAGCTTAAAAAACAACAACTAATAATGATTTTTTTAAAAGCAAAATTTGTTTAGAAATGCAGATTTTTGAAAAAAATACTTATTTGAAAGATGAATTTTCATGCTGATTTTTTTAAATTTTTAATGTAGAAATAGGTCAGGAGACCCACATGTGAAGATGCAGCAAAGATTTACTCCCTTTTACTCACTGCTATTCCAAAGCAGTTGTGATGCCATACTAATCCATATTCTCAATCAGAAATGTGTATTGGAAACCGCATTTCACCTCTAAGATTGCATTCGAAAGGCTGGACAATATATCCATCCTGTAATCATTCTGGCTGAGTAGCATACTTTGTTTACATTTCTTTCTTTTAAGCATTTGTGCACTGCCCCTTCATTACTTAAGCTGACTTTCAACAAAAAATAATAACGCAGTTAAAATGAAAATATCATGAATACTCGTTGATTGTAATATTTCTATATAATCTACAGCAGGAGGAACATAAGGCCACACTCTGCTACTGTAAATGCCCATAGGCTTACTGGGAGAGGAGTTTTGCATCCTCCTCAAAAAGCTAAGAAAGTAGGGCAGTGTTAAACTGCAGTGGGATAAATCATTTTTTTAACCTTTGTACAGTTCAGTCAAGGCCCTACATGGCGTCCTCGCATGCAGTGTAGGCATGTTCAATAGAGCCCCACCTTGCAGAAAATTTGCAGTGGCTGTGCTTCTGTGTGAAGAGGGCATGTGGGTTCCTGGCCATGAAGAAATTTTAAGGTTTCTGCTGTGGGATGTAATCCACTGAGAGCAGTCAAGTACAACATTCCTTGTTTTGCTATAGTGGACATGCAAAGGAATGTTTGGTCCAGCCAGTCGAAACTTCCTGTTCCTCCTGACCTGGAGCATCCTTCCTTGCATGTGGGTGGGCGTGACCTTTCCAGACCTGATAAAAGGACAAGGCATGCTGCCACTCTCTCTCTTTTCCATCTTCTTTTCATCCTGCGAACTTCCTGGAATGAACTGCTGGCTGCCAGCCAAGCAGTCCCCCAGGTCATCTTCCTTATGGGATAAACTTGTTAGTATAAGTTTGTAACTTGAAGCCTTAAACCTGCCTTCAGGGATCACACTGTGCTCTGCCCGATTGTGAGTAAACTTTCTTTTTATTGCTTATGAATAAGACTGCGGTGTCTTTATTCTTTTAGGAGGGATTCAAGTGGTCTTACCAGGAAAACATTAGAACACATTTCAATCTGGACGAGCCAGATTGAATTGCGTATTGTCTTAAGAAACTCACATGACTTTGCAACTAGTTTTCTGCTGTGAAAAGGAGAATGCACTCTGCTAAGTAAAGAAACTTGCTAATGCAAGTTAGGAACGATATTAATAAACAACATATTCTCTCCTGTCCCCCTGAACATTCCCACAGCTGCTACACATAATGTGTGTGTGTGTGTGTGTGTGTGTGTTGTATGCCAATTGGCTTGTGACCGTTGCCAGTGTGATGAAAGAAATGTGATGAACATGTTTTCACACAACTGCAGTTTCTATTGCCGGCATAGATGCAGATGACCTCCCACAAGATAATTCTGAAAAGGAAGCCGAATCACAGGAAATTGCAGATGGAATACAAAAGAATGGTGGAGAAATTTTGCAAGCCAATGAATGTTACCTCCATGCAGACTTGCCAGCAGAGAACCAAGAACAAGAGCAGGATCTGTTAAAGTTGGAGGAAAATGTTTGCACCAAAGCTCCCTGCTTATCTGAACTGTGTGGATTTTGTCCTGGTTGGAGCACTGCATTCTATGGTTCAGAATGTTTTAGTTTGGAAGTACATCACTACGTAAGAAAACTTGGAAAGCGGAAAGTTAATGACGCACAAGACATAGATGCGAAAAAAGCGGTAGGTATCCTGATTTTCAAGAATGGATGAAAAATCAGGGACACTTTTTTTTTTGTTTTAAGGTGTAATATAGAGCATGAAAAGCAGGCTTCCAGAGGTAAACTAGTGCATTACTTATGCTTTCTACAAGGTGCATTCACATGGGTGATTTAAAAGCATTGGATATGCTTTAAAACCTATTTTCTCCAGTCCTTGCAAGATGGGTTACTCTAGTTACTATTGTCCACACTATTCCAATATTCATTTGCAGTACATATAAGTACCAGTGTAGGTTTGTGTAATCTGGACAGTATCATGAGCAATGTTGGGGTAGGGACCTTCCTTGGGCTTCATGTTTAATGAGCATGAAGGGGAGTCATGGAGAATTGCGAAGCTGTGCCTTAAATTATTCTACCTGATTATGAAAGTTGAGACGTTTGTTCGCAAGAGAAATGGAAACATTTTGGAAATACTTCCAGTCATGTTAGCCCCTTGCAGAGAAAACAGCAGAGTATTGCAAGACCTTAAAGACTACGAGTGGAATTTAATGTCACACTGTTACAGACATTCCATCCACACAAGCATATTAGCTTGGCAGGCTGAGCAATCCCCTGTCCCCTCCCCTTACAGATTGTACTGGGGACCAATCTCAGGCCCCAGGGAAGGAGAGGGGGGAGCCCTTTTGTGGAGAGCTGCTGCTGCTGGGGTTCATTGGTTGAGTTGCCATTCAACTTTACAGTTTGCTCCTTTTTCTGTCTGCCAAATAAGATTTCACTTCACACATCTGACAAAGTGGGCTTGAGTTTGCAGCAGCTTATGCTGTAATAAATGTATTCGTCTTTAAGGTGCCATAAAAAACTCTGGGGTTGTTGTTTTTTAATGCCATCTCTTCTGTACTCCAAATGACTTACTAGGCTTTCACTACCAGCTAATATCAAGGGTTTTGTATAGTCTTACAGTGAGCATTACAATTTCAGCGATCAAGCTCACAGAAATCTAGCACACTCTTGATGTATCATTCTCTGCCTACATAGTAGGTCAAGTATTTAGCAGAGACATCATTTTTGTGAGGACATGTTTTGAATCGAAGAATGTTGACCTTTGATCTTTAATATGTGCTTAAATGCAAAGGCTGTTCTCAAGAGCCACTGTATTAGTTCACACATCACCTTGTGTTCTTATCAAAGAAATTTTAGCCTTCAGGCATCATTAGCTTCAGGGAGAGCAATGGAAGATGGTCCTTACTTTAACAGATCAAAAGCTTATGTTGAGTTAAACCTAATGATTTTTTTTTCCAAACCAGAAAGAGAACAGGTTTGTCTTTGAGTTTGTTGGCTGTATTCCCATTTCTTTTATTTCACAAAATGCTTTTCAGTTTACAAACACCCACATTCACCTAGAATGCTATAAGGCAATGCCGCTGCTATTTAAGGTAAACAGCCCTAATCAGACCACGCTTATTTGATTTAAGAAGTCATTCATTCTAGAATTAACTACTGTGATTTGTTGATAATTGTTTCCAATGGAAATAATTAAATCACCAGGCTTTATTGCATAACTGCAGGTGTGTCAGTCATACAGCTTGTTTTCACTCGCATGCTAAGGCCACCCTCCAGACGGAAATGCAGCAGGACTTCGGTGTAATTCTTCTTTAATAGGATTCTTGCCGACCACTTGAAAAGCTGTTTTTGAAACTCAGGGAAGAATCTGAATTATTGCTGTTTACACTTACTCTTTCCACCCTTTAAGAACTGTTTGCTCGGCGGAAACAGTTTGCCATCAGTTTGCCACCCTGAATATACCCTGGTCTACATCAGATGCACGAAGAAAGGATTCACATAATGATATACAACCATATTAGCATACAGATCTCCCTTGCAGAACTGGGAAAAGCTACCTTTGGTATCTCATGATAGAATTGTGGAATATAAATCTTTTAATGAAAGCAAACAGAGCAACGTCTTTATTTCCTATATGACATTGACTTGTTTTGGGACACATGACTAGTCTTGATTGTCCCTAGATATTTTTATAAATACTTTGTTTCTTTCATCCTGATTTTTTGCACTGTTCGTTGAAGTCTACTTCAGCTGACATTGAACATTCCATTTAAAACAGACTATAGACTTGTCAGTATTCCTGGAAAGAAAGAAAGAAAAGGGTTATATGATGTGCATATAATATTAATGAAAATAATTATGTTCATCAATAATTTTAAAGGCATTTAAGTACAATTTATGTGCTCAAATGAGTTTAAGTACCTATTATTCCAATACTATGACCCCGTTCAGAGATAATTTCATTTCCAATTAACCGCAGTTTAGCAGATTGGGAGCAAACCATGCTTTCTGCTTTTCCCTCCTTCCTTTGTATGCCTGGCCTTGTTGAGGATATCCTGCTCTATTTAAACTACAGTTTCTTGTGATCATACCTGTCAACTTTTCCCTTTTCTTGCGAGGAATCCTATTTGGAATAAGGGAATTTCCCTTAAAAAAAGGGAAACGTTGACAGCTATGCTTGTGATAGCCAAACATGTAGAATGTTTAAGGGCTCATTCCGTATCAAGAGACCCTCCATATCCTGGATTGGAGTGAGCCCTTAAACCACAGTTATAATCGGATGTTGCAGAGAAGAGATGGCATATAGGAACACAATTCAGTTCCGGGTCTGATAAACCATTGTTTAATTGGAACAAAATTTAGACTTCTGAACCAGACCCATATGGCTAGCTGTTAGAATTGTTAACAGACAGTTGAAATGTGATAATGTTTAGCTTTAACTTTTATGCATATTAACTGTTAGGGGCAATACTAGGTGTTATTGTTGGTTGATTCTTATTTGCAACCAGCTTCTGCTTATCAGAAGTAAAACTACTAAAGTATACTTACTATACTTTCACTTCCCTCCGCCCTTCACACCAGGAACTTGAGCAGCTGATAATGATGGAGACAAAGAATTATAGGAAGAGTATAAAATTCCACCAGAGGTTGTTGCATAAGGAGAGAAGAAGCAAAGGTATATCTGTAGTTTGTAATTTTAAGAGCTTTGTTACAGTAATTGTGCACCTGTGCTGACGCAAAGTGGCCCTTACTGCACTTTTTAAATCTTGAGGTGGTGAAGTGAAAACAGTGTTGCCCAAACTGAAGGGACAGCTGGAAGAAATGAAATCAAAGGTGCAGTTTCTTGACCTGGTAAAGAAGTACCTGCAGGTAATTATTTGGCTTTATTTTTGAATTAGAAATTGGTATCTACTGTTTCCAAATCAGTGCATCAGGAAGTAGATTTTTTCCCTACACGCCACACTTCAATGCTGGAGGAATGAAGTATGAGAGCCCAAAGTAGCATTGCTTTTTTAATGTGTAGAAGTGGCTCCCTTTGATCAGCACCACTCCCATAGTTCCCCACGAGTTCTCGGACCTGTTTATTGGTCACACAAGAATGTCCAGCTTCCTTAGAGGCATCTGGCTGGCCAGTGTCACAATCAGGGTGGTGGACTTTGAGCTAGTGCAGTTCCTTCTCTAGCATTCGAGTTGAAAGAACCTCCTGGGTGGGCAGTGAGGATATGCATGTCCAGCTTTTGCATGCCCAGTGATGTGCAAATTAGTAGTCAGGGCCGTCTTTACCTGGGGGTGCAAGGGGTGCGGGGCACCCGGGCGCCGAATTCTGTGGGGCGTCAAATGTATACCTACTGTATGCCAGTCCCTCTCGATTGGCAGCAGTGAAAAGCAATGGAGTGAAAGTCCCTGCCTCCCTCCTCCATTGCTCTGTTACTCCGTAGCAACAAATATTCCCGAGTCAGAAAACAAAAGCAGTTTCTTTTCTGCTGTGTTGTTGTTACAGGTGAGCGATTTTCCCTCCCAAGAAGAGCTCAATAACTTTGGCTTCCCTACTTAATAGAAGTTAATTTGGGGGTGGCTAAACTAAAATTTGGGGGCGCTGGGCAGATCTGTGCATCCCAGCGGGGTATATGCTAAAGACGGCCCTGTTAGTAGTGCCTTTGTGTCCCTTCCCTTCTCCTCCCCATCACTGGAATAACTTTGTACCATTTTGTCTGCCTTGTCTCCTTCTGCTGCAGATTATGTCTATAGAGAAATGGGGAGTTGAGGCATGCAACCTTCTTGCAGTTGTTAACATGGCAAGCAGTGAAGCTCTGGGCATCGTTAGCTCCTTGGACTGCATGCTCCTCTTCTATAATATAAATAAAACCCAGTACAGAGCCCCGTGTAATGACAATCAAAGTCAGCCAAGAAATCTACAAGCTGGAACACCACTTGGGCTGATGGCATATCTCTATTCCAGGTACAGCCTGTTCTGCAGTCTCACAAAAGGTGATGTCTGTTCTCACCCCCCTCCCTATTGAAATGAAGGTGCAATTCTGTTATCAATCTCCATGCATTTTATGCTGCAAGATTGAAAGGAAAGTGTCTCTCTCACTGCTTTGCAAAAGTGAGGTGAGAAAGAAGTTAAGGAATCACTCCCAGGTTAACACAACTCCTTTCGACAATTCTTTTCCAAGTTTAGGCAATGGAGAGCAGGATGGTCTGTTTCTCATTTTAAGTACTGGAGCAAGGGGGGTCCTATAGTTTAGAGTTAAATTTATTTTATCATGTCATGGTTGGGAAAGGCAAAGGGAGCTCTTATTTTTCTGAAATTCTCGTTTTCTGGATTATATTGAGTATTCCAGATCAACATTTAGAAATGAACACATTGGGATAAAACACGTATTTAAGTACAAATTATTTCTGCATATTTTTTGAAATCACAGATGAATGTTGGAATGGGACAGAACAGACTTAAGAAGTGAACACATTTAAAATTCACATGGACTGGAAATAGGGTATTTCCAATGTTAGTCATAGACCCATTGAAATAAGGGGGTTTAATCACAATAGACCTGTTTACATAAGAGGGTTTGATAAATCATTTCAGTGAGACTACTATATTACTTAGTTGGATATCACTCAGGATTATCTATTCCTCGTTGCAGCTCCTGAAAATGTAGGATTGTGCTTTAATGTCATTAATTTTTTGAACATGGAATTTCTAAAAACAAAGGATCTGCTTTAAAAGAAAATAGAGATTGTGGGAATTCAAGTGACATTAATTGAATCTCTTCCTTTCACTTTTCAATCTTTCTCTGTACTTGATTCTAAGAAAGCACGCTTGAGCTTACAATATTGATTTTTTCTTGTACTCTGCAGAAATGCATTTTTAGAAGGCTATGTACAGCAATTCCTCTTCACCTTTCGTTACTTCTGCTCCCAAGAAGAATTTTTTCAATTTCTTCTTGATAGAATCAGAATCACATTACCCAAGTAAGTGTTGAAATAAAGCTGAACTCTTGATACATTCCAGTTTACTAGCATAGATGTATCGGCAGTCTTTCCTTGTTCCTTTGAAATTGTGAATGATCGCTTTATTTTGAAACTAAAAGCATTCATTTAAGTTAGATGGGATTTATAAAATTTCTTACAAGATACAACTGCAAATTAAAGACAGAGTCCTCTTCTTGGCTGAGTGTTTTGTCCAACAAATATATTCTTATTTCAATAGCTTTCCTTTCTTATTAAGCTACAAAAAAGGAAGCTACACTTCTTGTTTGTGTTCTGGAAGAGATAAACTGAGACACATAATCCTTTCAAGTACATAATTATAATTGGTGGAATATTCAAATGTCAATTTATTCACCAACTTTCTGTTGTTCTTAGTTCAAGCCTGGAATCTTGTTCGTTGCTTAGCAAAATACGCCATCGTAGCTTCGCCATTCTGCAGACCTGGATTAAAGACTGCTATGCTGTAGACTTTGCAGTAAATCCTGATTTTATGAGTACACTAAAAGGTGTTATCATATCTAAGGTAATTCACTATATTTACAGAAAATTTAAGGTGGATGTCATCTAAGTAAGTCATCACATGCAAAATTGCATTAATGTTATACGATATAATTGAACTGAGAGGAAATAACATGCCTTGGGGATCCATGAGTTTTGTTTCCTAAATCACTCTAGTAAAGCAGGGTTTATTTTGGAGATATTAAGGCCATTATAATCTGAAGAAGACTCTAATAATGCCCTCTTTGTAGGTAGGTCCACTCAATGGCTATGGCGAATGGTTGCTGTCACTACTGGGAAGCATTACTAGCAGGAAGCAAAGCAATGTTTCTGAATACTACCAGACAGAAAAATGGGAAGAAGAAGAAGAGGAGGAGGAAGAGACCAGTGAAATAAAACCTTTACACTTTCATTGCAAAAAGAGCTCAAAAGATGTTTTGCAAAAGGTAAGAGGATTCTTTAACTTGCTCTACGGACAGCAGCACCTGGCATGTGCTCTTCTGTCTGTCTGTTTAGTTCTTATTACAAGTTTTCCCCAAAGCAATACAATAAACATCAACAACTGTTACAGGGTCTGAGAGTTACATTCACAGCCTAGATTGAGACACGCCAGATAATAGGTCGTTCCTGGGCTGCTGTTCTGGTAGTGTAGCAGACTTCCGCTTGCACAATGGAATTTCACCCCTCTTCTCCCCTACAGCATCTGTCCCCATCATACTTCCTTAAAAGATTACTAGTATGGAAAACAATCAGCTCAAGAGAGAGAGATCTCCAGTATTGGGAATAGAAGATTGGAGGCTGTATGGAGATATGCATGAGGAGCATATTTTTGACCAGAGCTAAATGAGTGTACAGAGATTAATAGCGTGGCAACTCTGTCAAAATATTCTTTAACCAAAGATGTTTTGTTGTAACAGTTGAAATATTTGCTGTTAGCGTATCTTGTTACATGTTAATAAACCCAAGCCGTAGTATATTTTCTGGCTAAGGCTTATATTTAGTCTTTCAATTAGGCATGAATGGAGAATGATGTAAAAAACAAAAACCCAACATGAAATATTGAACTAAAAAGTCGAAGTTATTTTAATGCAAGGGGGAAGTAGTAATAATAGGATTCTATAGAGTCCTGTTCAAATAGACTTGTGGACTGTGCTCTCAAATGGATATTGTTGTATTGGGGTATGATGGTATAAAATTTAACTGCATAGATTTATTGTACAGGTACTAGTCTTTGAACTTAACTTACATATTACATTATGTAATAATGTGTTCGTTTTTGCCTGAGTAAAGTTATAGACAAAGCAAATGCCTTTTGTTCTTTTTTTACAGAGCTTTAATTGGAATATCTCAAAGGAAAGTGAAACTGTTGCACCTTATCAGAGAGGCAAGCATAGCATTACATCAGCTTTAGCAAATCCATGCTATTCAAATGAAACAGAAGAATTCTCAGGCTTTTACTCTAAAACAGACAGAATGCCATATCTCTTAACAGAATATACCGCACAACAACTTTGCCATCAGCTGACGCTTCTGGAACAGGTAAATTTGCATTTTTGGATAAAACCGTCTTTGTGGGTCAGTTTCTTGGTTGAGGTTCAGGCCTGGTTCTGGCACATAAACTGCCTTTCTTGCCCTGTAGAATGACTCCTGCAAAAAAAGAGACAGGGTAGGGTTGCCATATTTCAAAAAGTAAAAACCAGGACACCCCAAAAGTTTAGGAATACCGCAAAATTGTTGAGCTTTTTTAGTCACACACTTTTTCGATTGCCTTGCCTAAGATCCAGGACAAAGTGCTGACTTTCTGAAATTCCCCCTGGGCATCAATTCCGCCCTTGAAATCCTGGTAATGTCTGGGAAAATCCAGACGCATGGCAGCCCTAGGACAGAGTGAGTGTAGCTCTGTTGATTCACCTGGACCTCTCCAGTGGTTTTTGATACCATCAACCATGGTATCTTTCTAGAGAGGTTGTCAGAGTTAGGGGGTCAATGGATAAGTAGTGTACACCAGATCAAATGCATCATACGCCATTTTTGTCTGTTTTAGGAAATGTTCCATAAATGTCACCCAGTGCACTTTCTAAATTCAAGATTCCTTGGAGTCAATGATAAGAGTGTGTCTTTCCAAAAGTAAGTTTGGTGCTTTGCCTAGCCTAATGGCATACTGATATGTATTGGGGGAAAATTTATTAGCATGAGAAAATTTGTTGTAGACTTCAGAGTATGATGAGAGACTTCAAAAAAGTACACCAACTGAGACAGGGCAACATTATCAAAGGACATGGATACTGCCTGATGCTGAACACTGAACATACTTTTTTAAGCAAAACGTTTTGACAAAATAGTAGCATACATCTAGTTTGTAAGATAGATATTTTTCATTTATTAATAGTCTAGTGTTAGCCAGAGGCTTATATAAGGCAACTTAGTGCTTATACTTCTGACAAAACTTTTTGGTTAAATATTCTAAGGTCTCTCACATTTTGAACGTGCCTCTTGCTTCCAGTTCACGATTATCATTTGTTACACCTTTGACATGTTTTGTGGGTTCTATATTTTGCTGGCCCAGTTTAAGACTGGAGCCTGGGAGTTAAGACATTTTCTCCATTATCTTTTCCACTATACATAATTTGGGATTAACAGAAGTAAATTAGCATAGCAGAAATGGTAAGGGGCTGTAAATAAAAGGCACCTGTGCCAGTTACTTTACTGACACAGGGAGAGACAGACAGAAAAGAAAAAATAAATATATTTAGCCTATTTGGCTATTCACACAGGGGTTCCGTCTGCTGGAATGAAGGCAGGAATGCCCCTCAGTAAATGCCTCCCCGATGCATAAGCAGGTGGCCAGGAGGAAGTGGTACTTGCTTCACTCTGTTGCTTCATTCAATTCTCTCCTGCCAAGCCTTGTTACCCACTGCATTCGCTGCTCCAGAGTATCTTGTTTGACTCCTCACAGCCAGGAGGAGGAGCCTTTATTGTACTGGGAATGTCTCTCTGTAGCTCCATCACCAACACCTGCCTCTTTGTCTGAGCCACTGGGAGCTACACTCAACTAATTGTAAGGAAATAATGTTGCTTTGCCCCCTTTGCATGGATATAATCTAGTATTTAAATTTTGTAGATGCTTGTCTTTTACAGAGCTGCTTCCTCTGAGCAATTGCCTGCTCAAGCCTATAACCTTTTTGCGGAAAACTGTGTCCAAGATGCTTACCTTTTGCAGCTTTTAAAATATGCAGACAATGTCAGTAATTGGGTTGCTGCTGAAATTGTAACAAGCTACAGCTCTAAGGTTTGCAGTCCTCTTTTTCATGATTGCTTTTCGTGTGTATTGATAATTTATTTGTGGTTGACCCTTCTTATGCAGTTATTTTGTCTGTGTATGATCTGAATTCCTGCCCACCTAAAGTGCAAGTAGATAAATAGGTACCGCTTTATAGCGGGAAGGTAATGGCGTTTCCGTGCGCTGCGCTGGTGCTGGCTCGCCAGAGCAGCTTCGTCACGCTGGCCACGTGACCCGGAAGTGTCTTCGGACAGCGCTGGCTCCCGGCCTCTTAAGCGAGATGAGCACGCAACCCCAGAGTCGGTCACGACTGGCCCGTACGGGCAGGGGTACCTTTACCTTTATGATCTGAATGGACTCAGGTGGTGCTGTGGTCTAAACCACTGAGCCTCTTGGGCTTGGTGATCAGAAGGTTGGTGGTTCGAATCCCCACGACGGGGTGAGCTCCCATTGCTCGGTCCCTGCTCCTGCGAACCTAGCAGTTCGAAAGCACGTCAAAGTGCAAGTAGATAAATAGGTACCGCTCCGGCAGGAAGGTAAACGGCGTTTCTGTGCGCTGCTCTGGTTCACCAGAAGCGGCTTAGTCATGCTGGCCACATGACCCAGAAAAACTGTCTGTGGACAAATGTCGGCTCCCTCGGCCAGTAAAGAGAGATGAGCGCCACAACCCCAGAGTCTTTCACGACTGGACAACTGTCAGGGGTCCTTTACCTTTACAATCTGAATAAGGTTCTTAGCCAGTAGGATGAAGTAGCCATAGTGGCTGCAAGAGGTTTAACATTCAAAGGAAGAGGCTTCACTTGAAATGCAAACATTAGCTCCTGATAGAAGGGTTTTTGTTTTTTTTACCGTACTGTGGCAGGGAGAGAGAGTGAAATTTCCGTTGCTCTCCCTAACAATCCCAAGGCTTCTGTTTACATAACAAAATATATTCTTTATTCTTTCTCCTGGTTAAACTGCTGGGTTAGAGTATACAGTTCCTTTAAATCATTGTTTTGTGTGGTTGCTTTTAGCAATGTTGAGATTTATGTATACTGCCATTGATTTATTGACATTATGTTGATATTTGTATCTGTTTATATTACATTTTCATTATCTTTAATAATATTGTTCATTTGATATGATGTGATCTGCTTTGTGCACAATCTTGTGGAAAACCAAGGTCACACCTGTAACATATATTTTAATGCACACATTTATACTACTTTAAAACCCATGGCTTTCCCCCAAGAATCCTGGGAACTGTTGCTTGCCCAGCACCCTTAACCATCGCAGTTCCTAAGATTCCTTGGTGGAAGTCAAACATTTCAAATAAGTTCTACACAAGAGTGGAGTCAGTGGCATTAATGAACCCGAGTTAGTCCTTAACATCAGTAGATTTGCTCTGAGTAGCACTAGCATTGAATACCACCCTGTGTGCTTTAAATGTATGGTGCAGATGCGGCCTAAGAAATGAATGAATACATTCAGTATGTTCTGGCAGAAGGCGGCACCTCTTCCTATAACTGTACAGAGATATCCTGGAGAAGTGTTGCACAGGACTGAAATGCATCTAACAATGTAGTATTTATTATAGGCATCTTTGTTTTTAGGGTTTTTTTAAAGGGATGGATTAGCTATACAGGCTTTAGAAATTCATAGCTGTTAGAGATTAGGTTCATTCATTTGCATCCTTGCAAAGGCCTGCCATGAGCTAGGCATGTAGTAAAAATTTGTTTAATTAGCCTTCTGTTTCATGAATGCCAAGATTTCCTGTTTATATTCTTAAACACACAAACACACACGGTAGCAGCTGTTTGGGCTGTATTGCTCTTCTGTTTTCCTCATGAGTCACAACCAAATACCAGGAGGGGCAAGACGCAGGGACCTCAGTGTGGTGTGCTTTGTGCCAGCACACTGTGCTGGGCTTCAGACACCTTCCCCTCTTCCTCTTGGCGAGGGCAGTGATATATGGTGTTGGAAAGCTGGCAGAGCAACTCAGCTCCACTTGCAGTACAGCTGCTACTGCTGCACACACAGAGAGGAGAGAGGATATTTTGCTAAGCAAAACACAAACTTCTGAAAAAAAAGAGAAGTAGTAGTCAGAGTTGCAAGTATGCTCCTATGACTTTCTGAAGTGGGTATTAGAATTCACCTTTAATCTTGCGTTATAAATATGTTCTTGCCATCAAGGGGCTTTTTCCCATGCTTGAGATGAAAAGATCTCTATCTAAAGTTAAAGTTTATAAAATGTTATTTCACACTAATTTGGTCAGGGTTGCCGTATTTAAGATAGCCACAGCTACATGGTTGCATGAACCCATCTCTCATTTTTATGATTCAGGGCATGATTCCACCTTTCATTAAATTTGCTTTATTGGAATGTTATGTTCTGCAAGTGTTGGCAGAAGTGTACAGTTGACATATCTTTCTATTAATGTTCAAAAAAATATCTGGGACCAGGAGCAGATCAGTAGATAAAACTGCTAAGCCGCTTGCCTTTCAACAATCCCCTTCTGGTTCAATAGGAGACTGCAATTTGCCATAATTGCATCTGTTGGCTTTACCATTCATACTGACTTTCATTTTAAAAAGTAATTTACCAATAAAATGTCACCGTTTCTCACAGTGTGATGAAATATCTGTCATCTATTTGTACATGTGTGGCAGCAAGTTGAATTTGGCAGAAATGGAGATGAATGCTTTTCCTTTGTTCGTCTCTGCACATAGTCCATTGACAATGGGTGCAATCTTTTAGTAATCCAGAAACAAATGAGGCATAACATGACCAAGTCTATGGAACTCTTTAAGAGTATTATTGAGAACTATTGTTTTAGGATGCAATTTAGAAGGGAAGAGAGAGAGAGAGAGAGAGAGAGAGAGAGAGAGGGGTGGAAATGCATTTCTTGTGCTGTGTTGAGTGCCCCTAGAGTGTAAAGGTTGGATAAAAGTCCCATAAATAAACTAAGTTATGGAGAAAGACCCATATCTCTGCCCCTAGGTTCAGTGCATGCTCTAACAAGATGAGGATCCTCTCCTCATCACTCGGTCACCCATTTTGTTCTTGCCAATGTGGAAATCTCTTATGGCCACAGTCTTGCAAGCTCCAGTTCTTTCTTTGGCTTTAGTTCCAGCAAATCAGCATGGCCTTTTCATTGGCAGTGTTGTAATTTGTGACTCTGCTGGTTGCAGGGATCTCCTGGAAACCAGCTGCTCTCCATAATTCTACAGCCAATGTCCTGGTTGTCAATTGCCTACAGGGGTCTTGCAGCGCCAGACTCCCAGCAGCTGCATGCAGAAGGAAATGGCATTGGAAGGAGTTTTATTTGTGCATTTATCTGCCCCATTTATATCCCAAAGGGAAATCCTAGTATAATGTATAAGAACCACTGCACTTCACTGCCTTTTTCCTTCATGTGCACAGATGATACATGTCAGGATTTACTTGGAGCCATAATAAGCTTTCTTATCCAATTTCAATACTTTAGGGAGGAAACATATACAGTAGAGTAATTGATGAGCTGATGAGTTTCCTAACATATAAAATAATAGAAATGCAATTTATATGCCACTGATGCATGACATTTTTATAAATTGGGTGCTGTTGTGATAGGCTCGATTCATTTAAATATTTTTAGCAGGTTTAAAAGGAAACCATAAAAAGTTTGCATTGTTGGCATGTTTGCTGAAAAATATTGGTTTTTGTTTTGTTTGCCATATTCCAGGGGTTTAACTTCAAGAAGGCTGATAATTTTAACAATTTCTTTCTGGTTGATATTCTGTACAAATTTGGAAATGCTTTAATCTATCACATTATCCACCTTTTTTCAAAAAAACAAAACATAACAAAAAACACATTTCCCCCACTCCCTCCCCCTCTTTTTTTAAATGAGGCCTCTCAAGATGATGGACTGATATAAAAAGTAAACAGGACACATGTATGGTGCTTTGTGTTGCATGACATTGAAAATGAGAGGAATCAATGGAAAGCAACACTTAAAACCTAATGAAAGAAAACATACTATGTAGCACATTCATGTATTGTCTCAGTTCTTCAGCCAATGCAGCCCAGATGTGTTTGTGCCATATTTCATTAGCTGAGTCCAACTTGCCAATTCAAGAGGTCCAAATCCCAGATATTTCTATTATTAAAATATATTACCAGTGCCAGGTTGCTTTGCAGGACTGTTTTAACTTTATACTATACACAAGAGCGGCATGGGGTCCGTACACCCTGTCTTCCTATTTCATATGTTGATTCATTTTGTCAATTTGAGAATTCTTGTTCCTATCATTTTGATAGCATCAACCTCAATCGAAGAATAAGTTAGATTCTTTTTTCAACATGCACAGCAGAAAATTTGTTAGCTGTTCTTTTAATAGCTTTCCATGTTTCTATCTATAGCATTCTTCAGAAATGCACATAGTTGTTGACTGGCAACCAGAAAACAAGCAATTAGAGAACAGCTACTTTTCCTGTTGTTGAGTAAGAAATGTGATCAATACAGGGTTTTACAGAATAAAGATGTCATGAAATAAGTGTTCCATGATACCTGTTTCCAACATGTAAAGCAATATTTGATAATTATATAATTTTATATAGTCAGCTCTAAAAGTCAACCTTTTTTGCTAGCTTATAGATGGTAGATAATGCATTTCCACGCATTGGGTTGTTCTGCAGTTAGCTGTTTTCATTTTCCTCCTTAGAACAACCTGTCATCTCTCATTGCCTAACAATATGTATAGTAATAGGTTCACTGGTGCCTCAATGTGAGGGTTTCCAAGCATACATCTCACACACACATTGGCACTGAATATCAGCACGTTCTATAAAACATGTATTATTATTTTTATTCCAGATGCAGGTGAACTTGCTATCAAAATTCCTCTTCATTGCAAAATGTTGCTATGAGCAAAGAAATTTTGCTACCGCGATGCAAATCCTAAAAGGACTGGAAAACCTCATTGTGAGACAATTACCAGTGAGTAAGCATTCACTTTGCAATTCATCCAGATATTGTGGTTTTATAATTTATTTTGGATGGGCAATATGTTGAATTGCAGCTCAAAGCCCAAGCTTCAGAGGACTAACACTTTGCTTAATTTCCTTTTCCCCCTAAGGTTTGGAAATGCTTGTCTTCTAAAGTGTCTGAAATAATGGAAGAACTAAAGGCTGTTGAGGTATTGCAAAAATATAATCTCTTATATGAATTGTGGATAGGTACAGGAGCCACCTTCAAGTTATTCTTTTTTTCTTCCCCTACCATTTCTCCGCTTCCCAGAAAATCCAGTTTTAGTAAAAAAATGCACATACTTTTTTTCTTTTCTAGGGAAATTTGAGGAATCTGTAGAAAGCTGAAAGCAATGGAACTTGCACACCTCTCATTTTGGATTGTGCCAAATAGGTTGGATCCAGAATTGGTTAGGTGAAATTAAGTTCCATTGAAATCATTGATACTTAACTTAGTCTACTCTACACTTACTGTTCACACTGTTTTTAATGGGTCCTGAATCCAACAAACTTAACATGGATCTAACACATTATGTTTAGCACAATATTTATTTATTTTACATTTTACGCTTGTCCCAGTATTACTCCCAAGAAGCTCAGGTTTCCTCTTTTATCCCCTCTACAATCTTGTGATCCTAGGGGAGACTTTCTCAAACAGTGAGCTTTCATGATTATGGGGGGAATTTAAGCCAGATTTCCCTAGTCAGAGCTAGAGCCTCTTATCTTCTGAACAACAAAGCTTTTTGTTCTTTGCCCCTGCTGATTGGTTTTACCTGTCCCTCAAGATAACTCACATTCAAATTCTTTGCTATAAAGAACATTCACAAATTCTGGATAGTGATTGGTGGAGGAATTGGAAAATCATTCAGGAAAGGAATCCCTGCCTTTGTTTCCGAATAGCTTTTATCTTACTAGATTCAGTATAACTGAGAAAGTCAATCAATCCATCAATTGTATGTTATCTAATACACACATCTGGAGCTATGTCCTACTGAAACTAATTGGGATTATTTCTGACTAGACATGCATAGGGTTTTGCTGATTATAATCTTTAACTTGTAAACAGAAGTAGTTGTCTTACCACTAACTTTGCCCCCTGGACTCTGGCTTCCTAAATCCAGAAGTGCTTCTTGTTGAAAATATAGTAATTCTCTTGGCCTGACTACAGTTTCTGAAATACATTCCAGAGGGCCCTCAGTTCCAGTGAAATAGATATGCGGCCACTTCAATTGTTTAAGATGTTACATTGCCCTGTCCAGGTTTACCTGACTGGAGATAAAGCTTTGTAGACTGAGATCTAGCATTAAAATAAGTTTCCAGGCTGTGTCATGCCAATCTCTTACTCAAGTTAAGCTTCAGTTACTCGTCTGCATTATTTCCTTCTCTAATCCTGGTTCTTTTCCCTAAAACACTGTTGCACTGAGCATGTTCTGTACAGTGCCCTAAAGCCCCCATCAGATTGATCTTTTATGCCATGTACTAACGTGTCTGCATATGTATCTATACAAATTATACCAGGTGTTTTTAAAAAGTGACAGCTTGTGTTTAATGGAAGGAGAGAGATTTAAGACTTCACCAACAATTCCATCAGCCCATGTTCTGGCAATGCATGTTCAACAGCTTGAAACTGGAGGATTTACGATGAGAAATGGGACATATAAATGGACTAAACTTAGGTAATCTTACTTATGCCACAGAATTCTTCACAAACCAATATAGAGCAATGGAAACCTTAAAAGTACATTCAGTATTTTGGCATCTCACTATAGGTATAAAGGTAAAAAGAGTTGACTTGGTTTGATTTAATTGTATAATGCCTTGTGTGCATCTACCAAAAAACCGTTTAAAAATATTTATTATATACATATTAGTCTTTTCTGTCCTTTATCAGCTAGGAAACTAACTCATTTCTTTAATTTGTTTTTGTTTTAAGAAACATTGCGAAAGTTGTGAGCCAGGTTCATGCACTGCAAGAAAACCACTACTTGTTTTCTCCAGATCACCGGCTGCAATCTTTCTTAAGACACAGAATAACATCTTTTAGTGATGCAGACATCTCTGCCATAGCAGCAGACAACTATGCCAACTTTTACCAAACACCAGCTGAAAAGCAGTCTCGGAAAATCCAGGACACACTGCATAGGATGAAGGCAATGTTTCAATAACTGCTTATATTTCATCCTCAATTTTTTAAGGTTTAAATAATTTACTTTTTGTAGTAATTGGTCCATAAATGTATCATCTCAGCAGTGACTGAGCTCTATTTATGAATGTTTCAGTTTGAAAAATCCGAACATTAAGCAAAAGGGGCAAGATTCCTACTGTGTTGCTCACTTGTCAAGTAGCAAGTTGCCATCATATGAATTTGTCAAAGCTGTGTGTCATGTGAGGAAATTAAATATTAAGTCCTTATTGTTTTGTTTTAATTTTGTCTGAACAGTGGAGTTTATTGGACAATATGAGTGCTATATTTATATCAAGTTTGAGTATTTATTATCTTGTCAGGAGGTATATTAATTTTTGGTTGAGATTTGCTTTTCCTTTAGGAAAAACAAACTGATCTCTTGCAGTATGAGTTATTTCTATCATAGAATAAGAGGTGCTAAATGTGGAAAAGGAAGGCCAGTATACATCTCTACATTTCAGTAAGGCTTGTAGTTGCCTCAACTATTCCATTTCCAAACAATGAACTCATTATCCACCACTGTTCTTTGAACTGGCCCCATTCTACTTTCAGAGCCTATTGAAGAGGTGATTTTATTCAAGATTTCACTTGAAATGAATGCTGTGCCAAAAAGGCATTTTGATGCTTTCTGCTAAAAGCTTATTCAAGCCATTACATGAGCCTCCCCTTTGGTGACCTTTCAAAGGACCTTACAAAAGGGGGTGAAATTATGTTTTTGCAGGCCTATCCCTTGATCTGAATGGATTTTTTTGGGGGGGAGGGACACATCCCTGTTAACAAGCCAACCAGACCAACACCTTTTTATTTTTGCCACACTGTACTGCAATAACATAAATTTCACAACATGGCAAAATATGAATTGTTAGCCTGGTTACCTCTTATTTCCTATTCAATATGGATGAAGGCAATGGATTGAATTTACTTACCCTCGTTGACGTCTTCACTTGGGGCACAATCGAGCGAGGCAGGCCAGAATTTCAGAACCTCAAGAGAGCTCCAGCTCAGTGTCCAGACTGGACAGCATTCTGCTCACACAAGGCCTGATTCCCCCTGGTAGCAACAACAAACATTGGTAACATTGAAATCACAGACCACATCCCAGTAGAGGCTACCTTCAAAATAGGAGAGGAACAAACTACCCCATCATGGTTCTTCAGCCCCATCCTAACCACAAACCAACTATCTCAGGGGTCAGCAACCTTTTTCAGCCAGGGGTCTGTCCACCGTCCCTCAGACCATGTGGAGGGGCCGGACTATATTTTTTGGGGGGAAATGAATGAATTCCTATGACCCACAAAGAACCCAGAGATGTATTTTAAATAAAAGTGCACATTCTACTCATGCAAAAACACGCTGATTCCCTCCAACTTTGCTAATAGAAAAGTATTGTGTTTCTCTTTACTTTGTTTTTTTAAATAAGTAACTTGTGTTTTGTGCTTAAGGAGACAGATAGATCCTGGCAACTGCTGAACTTTGTTTTCAGAATTGGAACCAGCCGTTGTTTTTCCATACAATCCTAGGTGTAACCTGAGACCTGCATAGCAGGAGACCTGGGAGAAGCTAAGCCAATCAATTTTGCAATCTTCTTTCCTATCTATATTCCAGCCTCTGTATCCATGAACCCATCCATCTTAATGTAGAATGCCAGAGCAGCTAAGTGCCTTGAAATGGACCTTGCTGCCAACTGCCTCTCACTTTATGTCACTGCAGTAGCTAGCTGTGCATGTATAACTACCCCCCACTTTGTGCCTGGACTCCTCAATTCTTTGAAGCACTTGCATGTCTCGCCCTAGTTCTGGGTGCCAGTGATAACTGGATGGCCCTGTGTCCTTGGCAGTCAACGTACTACAGTGCCTACATTGCATCAGGCAAGAATGAGAAGGCATCATTTGTGATGCTTTTAAAGCCCAGCACATGTTTTGCTGTGAAGCCACTCTACAATGCTCAAAACACTTCATTGCTGTAAGGAAGGTTGACTGGTACTGTATGGTATAGAATGAGATTGGCTTGCTGAAAACCACATTGAGTCTACAGGCATTAAATCTTGCATTTCTATCAACCCCTCTCTCTTTCCTTCAAGGGCCTTAGTAATGACAGTTGTAGTTAATTGTTTCCTCTGAAGAGTTAACAAGGTAGAACTGTATGGAAGCTTCTATCTTTCAGTAGCCTCCCAGTGAAGAAGCTGAGGTTTAGCCTTACCAAGTCTAATAATCAGACAAAACTTTGGTAATTAGTTTAAATAAAGCTACCCCCAGTATGTATACTAGGGTACTAAGATACCCACCCACTTGTTGTTGTTGTTTAGTCGTTTAGTCATGTCTAACTCTTCGTGACCCCATGGACCAGAGCACGCCAGGCACTTCTGTCTTCCACTGCCTCCCGCAGTTGGGTCAAACTCATGCTGGTAGCTTCGAGAACACTATCCAACCATCTCGTCCTCTGCCGTCCCCTTCTCCTTGTGCCCTCCATCTTTCCCAACATCAGGGTCTTTTCCAGGGAGTCTTCTCTTCTCATGAAGTGGCCAAAGTATTGGCACCTCAGCTCCAGGATCTGTCCTTCCAGTGAGCACTCGGGGCTGATTTCCTTAAGAATGGATAGGTTTGATCTTCTTGCAGTCCATGGGACTCTCAAGAGTCTCCTCCAGCACCATAATTCAAAAGCATTAATTCTTCGGCGATCAGCCTTCTTTATGGTCTAGCTCTCACTTCCATACATCACTACAGGGAAAACCATAGCTTTTACTATACGGACCTTTGTTGGCAAGGTGATGTCTCTGCTTTTTAAGATGCTGTCTAGGTTTGTCCACCCACTTAGGCAGCCCTGAAAGTGGATTATGCCCACAAAGTCCTAAACTTGCCTAACCTTCCCTGGGTTATGAGTCTAAATAATGGATAGCTAATTTGTTGCCATCCAGATGTTAGACTCTCAACTCCCATCATCCCCAGCCAGCATTGCCTATGATAAAGGGTGATGGGAGTTGTAGTCCAGCAACATCTGGAGGGCCAAGGGTTCCACATCCCTGGTCTAGTCCAATGAAGGCCTAGCAAGGCTTCCCTTCCTATGCTAAAAAGGGCATCTGTGGAAATCCAGATTCAGAAGAGCAGCTACAGCAAAGACCCTCCAGAGCCATATTATTCTGGAAATGGCAATCCTGAGCTTAGCCTCTTCTCCTTCCTGACCTGTTGAGATCAAAACCTGCACACAATTAACAAACACTGATTTCTTGTGGTGTTTCATTCCAGTTGGTCTTGCTTTCTTTATAGCCTCTCAATACTTTTCCTTGATTACTGAGCTATTTGTGTATAACTTTGAAACCGCCTTGCATTTCTTGTGTGTTACCAGTTTTATTGCACTGATTTTGAGTGTGCATATTCTCCCTCTATTTTAATACATTAATCCTGACACTATGGTTTTAGACAGTTTTTGTATTGAAACAAAATGAAAAGTTGTGACAAAATAAGTATCTTAAAATATTCATTATACTTTCTCATTAGCTATTTTCCTGTTGCATTTCAATAAAGTTAATTACTTTTTTCTGCCTGTATATATCTTTTGCAGCAGAAAATTGCATCTGAAAGAGTTAAAGCCATCATTGCTAAAAATTAAAAAATGCTACTCATTCATAAGCAGTTCATCAAGCTCGAGTTCTCATTAAATTAACTGCAGTGTAAAATAAATTATTTGCTTTAAAATACTCTATTTTCAGATGATAAGCCATAGTATCCTATTTTATTGGGTTTGTGTGACTATATAATATTTGAAATTCCTTTGAGGTTCCTTATACTGAAATCTGTTTTTTCCCCAATCAGGTATTTGACGTGCGCTTTTTTTTTTTACATTGCTTATAATTTATTTCTATATGAAACAGCCAATATGTAAAGTAACAAGGGTTTTAAAGCCAAGTATTTTTGCTTTTTATGATACCACATGAAAATAAATGACTAGTTTGTATGATCTTTGTTGCTTTTGTGTTATTCCTATTGAAGATTCTGCTTCATTTTAAAAACATAAATGGTGTCCTGAACCCTTGGCCTACCTGACAGCAAGTCAGTATGTCAAGTCCAAAGTTCAAAGTCCAAGGGTCAAGTCATGCAAGGAAAGTCCAAAGGTCAGGAAACACAGTCCAGGGTCAATCCAAGTAGCCAAGTCTGAAGTCTAGCAGTCAGGATACAGAATACTGAAGCATTGTCCCCCAGAGATCCAGGAGCAGCCAAGCCAAAGTCCATCAACATGTGCCATTGAACAGACACCTCAGCTCTGCTTCTCTTTTGCAGCATCTGGGCTTGATGAGGCAGGTGACCTTCACCTGTTCCAAGCCTACTCCAGCTGAGGAATCACACCCCTCCTCGCAGAGCCAGTGAGCCCCACCTGGCCAGCCGTCATAGGGACTCCACTCCAGATTTGTGTTGGGTTCACTCCTTACCATGGGCTTAGCCAAGGTGGGGGTGGCAGCTTCCACACACCCCAACATAAATCCTGGCTTCCTTACCCTTTTCTTTTCCTGAAGATATCCTGAAAGACAGTGGAGGTTTAGGTTCGGTTTTCCTTCTAGATGGGCTACCGTCCCAGGTTAACAAACTCCACCTACTTCTCACTTCCCCCTATAATAGCATGTGCAGAAACCACCACTGGATCCACTCTTGGTCTCATCTGCTCAATCCACCAGAGCTTGTCTTTGCATGCAGGGGAAGTCCCTAACTCACTGACCTCTTGGTTACCCTCATCTGGTTTAGCTGGCCAGTCAAAGCCATTCCTGGATTGTGGCTGCTGTCGCATGCTGACAGCTTCAAGGGGCCACAGGTGAGAGCCGAGTTCAGGGTGGGAACCAAAGGTGGACAAACTACCAGAGAAGGAGCATGGCATGTCCCCCACCAGAGGTACTAAAAGGTAAAGGTAAAAGGACCCCTGACCATTAGGTCCAGTCGTGACTGACTCTGGGGTTGCAGCGCTCATCTCGCTTTATTGGCCGAGGGAGCCAGCATACAGCTTCCGGGTCATGTGGCCAGCATGACTAAGCCGCTTCTGGCGAACCAGAGCAGCACACGGAAACACCGTTTACCTTCCCACCGGAGCGGTCCCTATTTATCTACTTGCACTTTGATGTGCTTTCAAACTGCTAGGTTGGCAGGAGCAGGGACTGAGCAATGGGAGCTCACCCCGTCATGGGGATTTGAACCGCCCACCTTCTGATCGGCAAGTCCTAGGCTCTGTGGTTTAATCCACAGCACCACCTGCGTCCCTAACACCAGAGGTACTACCCCTCTCCTTAAGCATAAAATGGTAGCAAAGGATGAGAATAAGATAACTAATACAGAAGGGAGAAAATATGGCACTAGAACTGTAAAGAAAGATACATCCTATTTCAAAATAGTTTCTCTTCGGAAACATTGAATAAATAGAAAAATGACTTTTAGAAAAAGTACCAGTTCTCCCTCTCCCTCCCCCTCTCCCCGCTCCCCTCTTTTCTGGTATCTTGTAATTACACTTTCTTCCAGAAGGTGGTACTGAAGCACCTCTGTAGTTTTTGAATAGCAATACCCTGACCCTCTGTTATATCTAATATTTAATAAAGAGAGTCCTGGTTGGTTTGAAATATTCAGCTGATTTATTGAGGCATAAGCTTTCCATGAAAGCTTATGCCCCAATAAATATGTTAGTCTTTTACCGCAACCACAATCATTCTCCATTTCTGTATTTTTCAGTTTCATAGAAATCATAAAGTTACATAGTACCATATCCAGGGTACAATAAAATATAGCCCGATGTTCCATTATTAGAATAAATCCTTCCATGTGAAGAGAGGAATTACATTTCTACTGGTATTAATCATACTCTACTTTTTTTTAACAAGAGAAGTGTTCAAAGACAGTATTGGCACTAGGGGCCTCTTCAGATGATCTGATAGCATCAGAAATTCATCCTAAGCACACGAGACCAGATGTTGCCCTCTAGCCTTTCTTTAAAAAGTAGTAGGCTTGCATTAGGTTACCCCTACCATGGAAGAAGCAAACCTGAGACACTTATATTTGCTCATCAAAGCAGTATACAGTCGTACCTTGGTTCTTGAACATAATCTGTTCCGGAAGTCCATTTGACTTCTGAAACATTCGAAAACCAAGGCATGGCTTTCAATTGGCTGCAGGAGCTTCCTGCACTCAAGCAGAAATTGCGTTGGAAGTTCAGCTTCTGAAAAATGTTTGAAAACCGGAACACTTCCGGGTTTGCGGCATTCGGGAGCCAAAACGTGAGAGCACCAAGGTGTTTGAGAACCAAGGCATGACTGCATATAGACCAGGACTTGTATCGAGAGTAGCATCAAGTCCATTAGCGCAAGGATTTAACTTTGTACAATGAAACTTTCCCCACCCCTCTACATGCCTCCTAAATCTGTTCTGGGATTTCAGCAACCCTCTGGAACAGACTTAGGGACAACAGGTGGAGCATATATGGGAGAAAGGGGGCAAAAGTCTGTTGCACAACCATAAATCCTTGAGCTAATGGAACCAGGGCATTGGATGCCACCCCAGATACTGTTAGACTACAAGTCCACCATCCCTGACCATTGCCTATGCTAGAGGGAGCTGATGGGAGCTGTAGTCCAACATCTGAAGAGCCACAGGTTCCACCTCTCTAATATGGACAATCTTTTCATGGCTGTGATTAGAACAATTGGTTACAAACCAGCAATGCTAGGAATAGACTATGTTGGATGGCAGCCACTGTGTGTTGTGTGGCAGGTCAGTACTTTGTCACATACAGCTGCTTATTTTCAAGACATAGTGGCGGTAGGCCTGCCCCATTCCACCCCTCTTCCGGGTCCAAAAGGACTCACACGGCGGCAATCACATGTCAACTGGATGCGCCTAAAATGGTTGCCACCCATAGGTAGAACCATGAGGTGGAAGAGACAGAAATTGGGACTAGCCTTCTTCAGCAAGACACATCCAGCTATCAGGCAGCCTGCCACATTCTAGACCACAAGTCTACTCTTGTCACAAGACAGTTGCCTGCACAGGCCACAATAGCACCAGATGAGTAGACATGCACAGAAGTGTCCATCAGTTGACATGGCAAAAGATGTAATTCATGCACATTCAAGTCTCACTGAAATAGGTAAAGGTAAAGGTACCCCTGCCCGTACGGGCCAGTCGTGTCCGACTCTAGGGTTGTGCGCCCATCTCACTTAAGAGGCCGGGGGCCAGCGCTGTCCGGAGACACTTCCGGGTCACGTGGCCAGCGTGACGAAGCTGCTTTGGTGAGCCAGCACCAGCACAGCACACGGAAACGCCGTTTACCTTCCCGCTATAAAGCGGTACCTATTTATCTACTTGCACTTGGGGGTGCTTTCGAACTGCTAGGTGGGCAGGAGCTGGGACCGAAAGACAGGAGCTCACCCCGCCGCGGGGATTCGAACCGCCGACCATGCGATCGGCAAGTCCTAGGCACTGAGGTTTTGCCCACAGCGCCACCTGCGTCCCGCTCTCACTGAAATAAAAGGAGCCTAAATGTGCTTAACTCCATATTACGGTAAATTGTGAGTCATCCCAGTGGTGAAAATGTTGGTTTTAAAAGCACTGAGTCTGCAATAACCGCTGATAAAAAGTCTTTATGATGTTCTTAAGTCCTATGGAACCTGTAGTTTGCCATCTCCTCTCTAGGTTTAGAGAAGCCACGTGTCCCATTAAATCCTGACAACATCTGGAAGGGAGAGGAAAAGCCTCTTCTCAGTCACCAGAACGTGCTGGAGATTTATGTTCTGGCTCACTCAGTTTGTGATGGATGAGCAATTAATTTGTGGAAAGCGGAGTTAAAAATAAACAGGCAATGGCTCTGGCGTAATATTTCACTAAGCTGAGTTTGACCACAATAGTTAAAGGCACCACATTGGCAAGCACAAATATTAGTTCACTGGGCAGTCTTTTGTTTGCTTAATGTGTTGTGAGCACTCCACCGTTGGGCTGGGGTTAGCAACGCTGCAAACTGACACACTCATTTGCAATGTTGCGCTTTGTCCGATAGGTGGCAGTTTGTTTCCAAAGCATTGTCCAGATTGCAGCATATTTTTCTGGCTTATCTCTCATTTTACACCTTTTGTTTTGTTGCTCTTTGCATATTTCCGGTACACATGTGCCCATCTGCCTGCCCCCTCAATAAAATTATAAGAAAAATGGGTGGATGCATTGTAAAAGCAACAGCATGGACCACTTCAACATTAAGTTGATCTGCTCATTGGTGGATGTGAGTGCCTCCTATGGCAAGCAGAAAGTATGGTAACTACAGAAAATTGCCTGTTTTAAAATATATTCTTATTTAGATATTTATAAACCACACTTTAAAAAAAATATATAAGAAAGCAGTGTACAAAATAAAAACTTTTTGA